GTGTTCATTAATTATGGCCTTGATAGTTGCATTATAAAGCATTGAAACGACCCTAGTTCGAACCAATAAAGTTTACATTTTTGCAAATACTGGCGTTTTATCTGATCTCAGGCAATTTTCATACTTTTGTTCTTTAATTGAAGTGTTGCATTCGATAACGTACGAGTAAGCAATAACGCAGAACACTATTGTACCATAATAGACTACAAATGTCACTGTCTATTCTAGTTATAGTTACAAACGAGTTACTGTCAACTGTTAGTCGGGAGACTGCCAAGTCAGACCTGAAACATTTTCAATATTCATTACGCAATATGCATATATGCTGTTAATTGGTGACTGTATCTAATGATAATGTTAATTCCTATTGTCAGTTAGGCCTGGTCACGGGCCCATCAGTCAGCACAAGCCACAAATACCAGATCTGGCAAGACTTGCAGTTACCTTGTGTAATGTAAACTTGAAGCTTTATTACATGCTTTATTACAGCTACACTGCAGCTGTATCTCGCCTGGTTGTCTTTCTTGTGTACATATTTGAGTGTCCAGTCATAATAACATGACTTACATTTGGGTGGCGAGACGTTAAGTGGGCGAGGGTGAAATAGATTACATATCTTCAGTCTTATCAACGCTCCGTTCAAGTCTCAGATGTGACTTGCTTAACATCGCCCGTAGGCGTGGTTTTCAAATAAATAAGCTTGTCCTCGAAGTTTGGATGTTTCCCGGCCGTGCAGCGCCGTTTTGTATCTGTTATTTCACTGACAAATAATTACCGGAGCTCTTGTTCAAGTCATGGCTAATCGAAACAGCTTGACTCACCTTAACGATTCCAGCTACTCTGACAAAATAATTGACTCATTAAATTTACCTCCAACAATTAGCCATCATTCACTCCAACTAATTCTATCAAACCACGATCTAGCTGTTTACTTCCGATGAGAACAAAGTCCACGCTGGACTTGGTCTATGTTTTCTATGGCTTGAGCTCAGGTGTCGTCCGAATATGTGGGCCTCATTTGCCCTAACAATTGGCTTTATTAAGTTATTAATGTTTCTTTATGTTTCTGTTTTTGGAGTTAGGACTATTAGGAGTTGTTTTTAGAAAGTAGGCTTCATTGATCGCATGAATAGTTGTTTATTAAAATAATGTGTAACGTCTGTTGTTTCTCTCCGTTTTTAAACGACGGTCAGACCATTTGTTCAAAAATAAGAGCACCATTGACTGCGAAAATTGTGATTTTATTTACTCCTTCTCAGTCATATTACGTATTCAACATTCAATGGGGTATATTATATGCGTCTGGAGCGTGTTTCTTGTCTATTTTATTGTTTTTGATTGTATCTATCTTGTATTTTTTGTATCGTGTCTACTGTCTATGTACACGGTTATTTTGATTGTTCTGTTAAATCAGTTTAAATTTATTTCAGTCGAAAGCTGAAAATCCATTTGTTCGATGTGTAAAAATATCACAATCATTACTCACATCCTTTCCTTTGTTTACTGTGATGCCCGCTTTAACATTTGTTTAGTTGTTTCGAGAGACGAATTTTATAAATCTATGTTATTTGGTAGTTAATATTTAAATTACGTCTTTAGTGAGGATTGCAGCTGATCTGGTATGAGCAATTACCTTTTTGATATTGTGGATATGTACATGACGATGACGATATCAGTGATCACCCGTTGAATTTTAGTGCGACCATTCTTGAGTTGTGTTAGTATTACTTGCTTTATTATTGACTCTGTTCGTGTAATCAGTAATGCATGTAATGATTTTGAGTTCACATTAATAACACTAAGTTTGTGCGCTTTTTTTCATGGTCATATCATAGCAGTAGTAGATCAAGCATACAAGAAGATCAATATCATAGGCCATATCAAAGTAGATCACTATATTTGTCTATTATAATCCTTGTAGATCTCTTCAAATTTTGCGGTTGTACTATTATATTTCTATTAGTAGATCAAAGTTCAATTTGTCTGGCTGTACTATAATACAACACGCTGTATACCTCATCGGACATAATTGTCACGGATAAGTTTTTCACGGACCAAATTTTTCACGGACATAATTATTCGCGCTCATGACCTCCCAAAAATGTCCAAAAAATTATTAAAATTTGTGGTGATTTTTTAATAAGTGTTTTACTCTTTTTCTGAACTGAAGAATGTGACTGAAGAGTGATTATATTTGTCCTAGTACGGGTATATGGCCCCCAGAATATAGGTGGCCCCCAAAATATAGGTCATGTTAGTGGATACAGTTCTAACCAAGATAAGCGATATTAATGGGATCTGTTACTGCTAAACATGTAACTTATGTTTCTGGATAAAAATTTTGGACCTACATGAGGTATTTTGGTATATTTGGTCATGACAGCGAAAGATTTAAACGATGTTGTCATTTTCTAGAGGGGTAAATATGGCGAAAAATTGTCATGACAAAAATCTGTCCAACACATGCCATTAAGACTACTGGTATGAGTATAAGTATTATTTTAAGCTATCTTTTCATCGAGACATCTGCAAACTGACAATTTGGAAAAAAGTTATGGCCAACACAATTTTACGGGCCCCCAGAATATAGGTCTATACGACCCCCAGAATATAGGTTGGTCAAAAACCCTGAACATGCCCAAAACCATGCTTTGGGATGCTCTACTTGTAGCTACTAGTCTACTGAACCCACATATCAAGTTTTATCAAAATTGGATAAAAATTGGCCGAGTTATGGGATAAAAACAAAAACCATATGCCCATATTTGGGCATACGCACCAAATTTGATCGATTTTGGTCCATAAATTGGTCAAATATCAATATTTTTGAATGAAACCAACTTTATATGGAAGGTAAGCATATATATTACACATTCTCTATGATTATCAGCTCAATATCTACCTAACTGTGGATTCTGTGTTCAAATAATCGCAAAAAATGAACAAAATCGCCCATATCTCAAACTGACTTCGCTCAAAACAATAGAACTCAATAGGGTTTCAATATTTTCACATGAAATTTTCAGAATCAACGTAGAATTGTCTCATGACCTTAAGTTTTGGGACAGAATTTTGAGTTAGGCCTTTAAAAAAATTCGGCGGCCAAAAATGTCTGATTTACAGTCATTGAGGTGCACATTGTATTGATACAGATAAAAACAGCCCCCCTCAATCATATCTAGGGACACTCCTTCATTCTTATTTAAGTATTTAGTTAAGATCCCTACTAAATGAGTGCATGAAAGCTTTTTAAAAAGTAAAATTAAAGATTTTACTCATTACGGGTATATGGCCCCCAGAATATAGGTTTTTTAAAAAAAATAGCGACCAAGATTCTGCATTTTCTCTGTCACCCTGAGCATTAAGGAATGTGGGGTAGTGATGAGAAACAGTTAAAGAACATATGCTGAAGAGATGGCATCATCAAAATGTAAGAAGGTGGAGTATTTGAGGACGATTTTTGCATACCTATATTCTGGGGGCCGTAGTTTTTGATTTTTTGCTATTAAGTATACTCTAAACCATTTCAATTTAGTATCTGGAGCCATTGGCATCATCAATACAGTCTCAGCAACATATTCTGACTGCATATAACTGTCTGTGACAATTTTAGAACAACTTAGGAACAGATGTTTGGACCTATATTCTGGGGGCCCTGTTAAAAAATGGTATTTTTACAGGTGAAAAAAAAGTACACTTAAAAACCTAATAATTATTTTCAACTACCCAAGAAACATTTAAAGGGTTATTATGTACATATTTACAGCCCTAAACATGCTTAGAAGTAGTTTTAACACATGTTTCTAAGTGCTCAAAAAACGACCTATATTCTGGGGGCCATATACCCGTATACTAATAAACTAATATAATAATCGGCTACACACATATCTACGCATATGTAGGGACACACATACAAAAATTAATGGAAACAATTACCGGACTTTATTATTCACGGACCTTAATGCCACAGACATTATTTTCAAGGACTTAATTATTCACGTTAAGGTCTTCAGCGTGAAAGTAATGTTCGTGATAATTATTACAGATTAGGTAAAACATACCTCACAATAGACCGCGACCGTTGATTTCACGATAAAGTTCATCATCAAGTGCCATGATTTTCAGGAAATTTTGGTATTTCACCAACAAGACCACAAGCGGACCTTTCCTCCTACAATTTTAAAATTGACATCCGCCATGCAGTAGCACTATTGGATTATTGATAGCCAATACTCATAACTCAATGTTAAACTCTCATTTTGTGACCCTTTGAATTTAAGCTCACTAATTTCAAAGTTTAATTAATATTTAATGGATGCAACTGAAATTTGTTCACTTATTTGGCCCAAATTCAGCCTCGTTCTCTATATAAAGATATAACAGTAGTCGTGCACTACACTGCATAATACGTATCACAGCTGATTACAATGCTGACTGTACGTGTCTACAGATAGACACCGAGTAGACATAATCACCCAAGTAAGTGAGTAATGTGTTAGTGTCCCGTTCACTAATGACCTGAGCACTTTGGTAATTTGTGGTCGGAGTTACTGACTGACTCCCTGCTCAATGCTCATTCTCTAAAATATAACGTGAAATAGATCACAAGGTTAGACGGGTACTTCCGGGCAGACATTAGCTTGAAATAAAACGGTCCACCATCATAAACGAACATGTGACATTGTGATAAGCGATTTAATGTCAATTATGCAAATGCAATACTATTAAATGTATGTAAATGCGATTGTACCTATTTTGTCATATTCTCTGTTTGAGAGTAGGCTTCAAAAATAAATAGATTTTACTAATATTTTAAATAAATTTTTCTCACTCCAGCTACAGTCTGATAGTGTTGAGTTTCATTAATATTTCCCTAGCCTGGAAAAAAACGTATTCTTGCCTCATTGTAGATATTTTGGTCTTGTGTAAATTGTAATACATTTATTTAAAATTTATTTGAATACCCCTATCTTATCAGATACCCCTATCTTATCAGATACCCCAGCATGTCCCGTTGTTCTGATGATGTGTTGTGATGACCGGGCTGTATTTTTCTTCTGTCTTCCTCCTCCTTCTCCTCCTGCTTGATGTCGCTGTCTCAGAGCCCTGTTCTGCGTCCTCCTCCGCAAACCTCCTCGTCCTCTGCCCCTTCGGTAAGTTCAGGGAACTGTTAGTGTTAGTGTGTAATCTTAACCACTCCTCAGTTGCAACTAAACGATATGGCAATGCATGTTTTATTGCTTTGTTGTATCCTTTGGCTGCTCACTTCTTTAGTTGTACTAACTTACTAAGATATTCTGCACTAAGATAGTACAGTGAGAATCAAAACTGGATGAACTCCAACATAGTTAACTGTTTTGAGATTCAGTCCAACAGTAATAACAGCATCATTGTACGTCCAGAACCACTCCTTCTTCAGATTCAGATGTGCGGATAGGAGCCACTTCTGCTTCAGCTGCTCTGGTAGCACTGGACACTATCAAAGAGCGGCAGATTCTCCCTCCATCCTTCAACCTTAATGTAAAGTTCGCGGATAGTAAATGTAACAGTGTTGCTACATTGGAGAGCTTGCTGAACTCTTGGGACGGGGAGGATGCGTGAGTTTTAGCTTTTAAACCTATTTCAGCTAATTTAGATAGGCATCGTATGCCTTTTTACTTTGCCCAATGCCCACTATAATATGAGTGTATGCTAGGATTTCTGATTTTAACACCATTTTTAGTTTTTACAGTGGCCGTATAGAACAATCTATGCCGTATTCCAAAATCAGTCGTAAGGAGCAATTAGGACACAACAAATTAAAATAGTTGGCTATGTACACAATTTGATGACCCTTTAACCGTCCCTCTCCTCCAGAGTTGACGCGGTGGTAGGACCTGCCTGTAGTGGGGCCTGCAGTGCTGGAGCTGACTTCCTCCAAATAAAGGATTACCCTATGATATCCTGGGACTGTACTCAGCCCGACCTCAGCAATAAACCCAACTTTTTGAGAACCGTCTCTGACTACGGGAAAGTAAGTTTTATTATGCTATCGTACTTGTTCAACAAGTTGTACTACATTTGTATTTTCATGCGCTAGAGATTCGTTTCATTGTGCGTCTACAACAAAAACAGTTGTTGTAACTACATCAGTCGTTCACAGTCTTACTTTTATCGCATGAATTTCGCATTTTGCCATTTTTATAAAGAGCAACGCTTCGTGGCGTGTAGATGCTATATTATAGCCATTGTGCATAATTTAATTAGTTATACTTATTTGTCTTCAGACTGTTTTTCTTGTTTTTGAAAACTTAGTTCGTTCAACAAGACAAATTAATAAAGCTAAGCAGCCTTAGTACTTTAGTAAAACTACGGTAAGATTATAAGAGGCTAATTGATAGGTTGCTTACACCCTAACTGCCAATTTAAGTAAGTAGTTTAAGTAAATAGTTGTTCTACCATCGGAATTTAGCACTTATCATTAGCGAGATGTTTTGTTAATGGAATATGTCAGACTAGAAGCTTGGCTGTTTATTGTGGAGGTTAATTGACATATGGCCACATAATTGGCTCGTATATGCGCGTAATTGCCTGGTAGATATTTAACATCGATTATCATTATCATAATGATAAACAAGTACGCATCATTGATCACTTGATCGACTCAAAGGCTTCAGAAATATATTTAGATCAAGCGGTTAGTGGTAGCAAGGATCAAGGGTCATTTTTTTTCAGAAACCTGTTAATATTTTCCATTTTCCTGGCCCGAGATCACAATCCGGCCTCTTTATTCTGAACAACAAAGTTTCTATGAACAACCTTTATGGTCGAATAGCTTGTAGCAGGTAGCTCCATATCCAGTAAATATATCTGACCTGTCAAGTTATCAAAATTTGAACAGAGTACGTCAAAGGGTTGATCGGGTTGTGGAGAGTGTTGATAGATCAGTAGACCAAGCACGAGAGTGTTTTCTGTTTACTGTTCATTGGGTACTGGTGGGGAGGTGAACCATATTTGTCTTGGCACCTGACAATGATTCTGACTTTTGATTGGTCAATGAGGGGGACTGATTGGTTAGTTGAAGTCACGTGTCAGAAGAGATATAGTTCACCTGTTCAGAATTCAGATGGATAGTTCCGGCGTTGTTAAGTGTTTGAGATATCACGTGTTAAATTTTAACTAAACAGCTCCTTATATCGTAGTAGCTTAGTAGCTTAGTAGGTAGTTGATCTCTAAGTTTGCTAATTAAATATTCCTAATAACCATTATAATATCTTAATTTCACTCTTCCTCACTCAGTTCTCGTCGGTGATAACAGCGTTTATGAACCACTACAACCTGACCCGGATAGTGATGATCTGCAGTGTGGAAACTATCTGGATAACCACTTGTGAGAGTATCAAATCCCGGATAGCTGCTGACTCTCAGTAAGTTGGGTGGGCCGGGGTGGGCCACTATTAAAGTAACATTGTTTGACTGTGCCAGGTCAAATTTTGAAATACGAATTTGTAAACGGCTGAAAAAGCGAGACCTTTCCTCTTACTCTTAGGAGGATTTGGTACTTGTTGTACTTTGCTTCTCAATAGTCTGTACACAACAATGTTATCGATGCTGCGCACCTTCTCGAAGAATGCACCAATCAAAGCGAATTGTTGATCTTTTTAACAGTCGTGGAAGTTGGAACAGTTTCCTGTTTTTGCGCTCTTAAATTTAGATCGTCAGTCCTGCAGTCCCGCCCATGTCCATTATTCTTTGTCTTTATGCAGTGATGTGTATGGACCAATGACCTGACTGTGGAGATACTCCTGATCACAGCTTATGCATATGCCCTGGCGCCAAGCAGTCACTTTCTTTTTTCCAAATTACACGTACCGGCTGATGGGCTGATGACATCAGAGCATTTGCTTTTGTTAAAGCACGAGCTTTATTCACAAGGATGTCGGCTTTGCGCCGCTAGAAAGATTCAGTTTGTCCGGAAATAGGGTAACACTCCTTTCGAGGCTAACATTTTTGCTAGGAATAATGGAGTAAAAGTAAAATAATGGAGTAAAAGGATGCTCGGTCTCGCCTATATAACTACTTGCCCGGGATGAAAAGGCTACCGTGAATTCGAAGAAATTCGTGCCACGTCTGGTACTGGTTAGGTAGCTAATTTGATAATTGCAATTCAGACTGAGACAATCAAAACTCTCCTCTTTGTTACATTGTTACAAAGTTATAATGCAGTATCTGTAAGATTCGGACAAATGCAACTGCAAGTGCCGTCCTCAATGTTACCAAAAAATTAAGTAGTTGGAATGTCACCAGAGGTTTCCTCCCCGAAATATTTCGAAGTTTCACTTGCACTATCAGCGTTAGGAGCTTCTAATTGACTGGTTGCAATAACAACGGTACAACACCAATATTCCTTCAAGTTCAAAGACCACCGCCAATTGTCCAAAGTTTAAGTCAGATCCATCTCTACAGTCAACTATTTGGCACCAACTTTCGTCATAACGACAAACGTTATTAGGGAATATGAATTGTTAATGTATAACTAAGAAAATGCAATAACAAATAATTTTTCGGCATGGCAAAATAAATTGTGGTCCGGTTAACAAGGAAAGGCTCTCCAATTCGGTTGGATCCTCATTCCTAAATATATTGTATATATTGCACCGATTTAAAAATGGTGGTTAGGATCCCTGATAACTATATTAAAGGGCTTTGCGGTATTTCTGCTCGATACGCTAGGAACTCTGAAAATATTTTGCTATACGTATTTTAACCGTAGAATCGATTAAAAGTGTTCTATTCTGCGCGCGTGTCTGCAGGCCAAGCATGGACGTCTGGCAATGCTGACCCACTGATAAACAATATAACAGTATAACACACTCACCCTGCAGCTCAGGCAACGTCAGAGTAACGGAGATAATTCCCCTTCTAATCCCCGAACAAGACAAACAGTCCCAGGACTTTACATCTACTATGGATAGTGTTCTGCAGGACAAGGTCAAGCCTAAAGCTAGAGGTAATTTTAGAAGTTTCTTTTTACAACAATTTATAATTAGTTATTCATAGTTATTTTTATTATATGTAATGTATTATAATTCATATTTATTCTTATTATATATTTCCCATATTTATATTTATTATATTTAAATATACATAATATGTAGATGATCATTAAAAGAAAAGGATTTTTTTTAATTACGGAGGGGGCTTCGCGAAAAGTTTGAATACTACCATGCAATCATTACTTTTTTTTAAATACGTAACTGTAAAGTAATATTGTCTTAATCCAACATTCCACGGCTTCCACTACCAAATAAGCAAACAGTATCTCTCTGACCCTGCACACTAGATCCTATACCTGTACCCCTTTCTCCTAGCCTCAACATCTGCAGGCACACAAGCTATCTCCTTATCTCCCGTCTCCACCAATAGGAACGCTGCAAAAGCACAGAGTAGTGAAGCTAAGGACTGGATTCCAAACGGAACTGCTCTGTGGGTTACTGGAGCCAGGTTGTTGAAGATGTAGGGACCGAGAAAGGACCCGACCCTGGCAGCTCCTGACCCAGCGGCGTATGCAAATCCTCTATGAGATGTAGGTGCAAGCTCCCCTGTCCATAGATAGATCCCGGCAAAGCTCGCCGCAATAAAGGTCACACACACCAAACAACAGACACCCTCCAAGGTCCACCCGTTACCAAGGTCCACCTCCGGGATGGCAATCAGGAACACCAGGGCAGCACCACTGTGGAATATTATCATGGCCCTTCTCCTGCCCAATTTGTGTATCACTGGGACAGTTATGCAAGCAGCTACAAACTCTCCAAGTCCTCCAAAAAGATATCCCAGGTATCTGTTTGGCACTATCTCTGACCAGCCAAAATTAAGCCCGTAGAAGAACATGGCGATAAAGAACCAGAGGAACATAAAGAGTAAGGTCTCCTTAAGAACGCTGGGGTACTTTATCAGCTCCATAAACTGCTGTTTCAAATTCTGTTGCCTCTCCTTCGCCTTACCAGCATCTATAATCTCAGTTTTATCTAGGTTTAGATTAGCTGTAGTCAGTGCTGCTAGCGCTTTGAACGATTTCTTCGCTGACTTCACATCATTCTTTATAAGGTAAAACCGTGGTGACTCCATAACAAACACAAATGTGTGTACTCGACTGAGAATGCCTAAGATGGCTGCTGCAAGGTACATGTAGTTCCAATCGTGCACGAAATAACCCACCGCTGCTGCAATCGGATATCCCGCCGCCCACACTATGCCCGCGAAACCGTTGATGTAGTTCCTGTAACTGGCTGGCATCAGCTCCAATTGTAATACGTAAAACCCTGTAGTACCCACAAACTCAAAAAAACCCGCCCAAAATCTGATAGCCAGGAGTAACTGGAAGTTGTGGCAGAATGTTGTGGCAAGATGTACGAGGAAGGAAAGGGCATAAGCTACAGAGGCTACTTTCTGCCTCCCCACGTTGTCGAACAGGAAACCTCCAACTATCAATCCCGACAACGCTCCTGGGAAGTACATGGAGGAGAGGAGTGTTTTTTGTGCAGGTCGGGATCCGACGTTACAATACAAATCAAACTCCACTGAAAATGAGGTGCGCTCAAGATGCCATTCTATGTCAGACGGTCCGAAAACCAACTCTGTTTTGCCATCCACGATTTCGGTGATGTCGCAAGGAAATTCTTGCAGTAATGAGGTATTAGCGCTCGTCAAGTACTCGCATTTTTCGGATACACATGACCAAATATCGCCGGGCTCTGGGTCGATCCCTGGATTAGTCGAATTAGAAAATCAGATAAATAATTAATCACTAGCCGATCTATATGAACGTTATTTTTATAATAGATTATTCTAATAACATAGTGTCGAGCGGTTAATAAAATTCGACAATTTTTTCTTAACAAGGCCGCATTTCTTTTGTGGGTGGCCGCTCAATTTTCCGATCCACAGCTTTTTATTATTATATGACTTAATATTTCAGTTTGTTTTCATGTCTCAGTCATGCGCAAGTTTTAATATGCGGTTTTTCGTCCTGTTTAGTTTTATTTTAGCGCCGCGCATGTATAATAGTGATTAAACTCGGAAGTCACGTAAAATAACTTCGCTGTAAAAGGATCGGGAAAAACATGGTGATATTAACACCAGGTGATAAATACCTGCTAATGAGGTTATGTAGACATTTAAAGGGCTGATCAAGATTGTGAGACTAATAGAAAAGACGAGTACTGTGTATTTCCATGTCCGGTGCCGAGACAGCTCTTCAATCAAATCATCGCTAGATTTTTTCTCGTATATGGAGGGGCTCTCCTCAAGGAGTGCCAAGTCATCTTCTAACATTTTCTCTGAGTCTGCCATATTTTTATAGGCTGCAAGGTTAAACAATGTCAAATGAATGAAGAACATAAAATAAATCAAGAATATATGATCCTGTCAGTTCTGTAAATTTAGGAAAGTACGTATCGGGAAAATTATGTAGGGATCAGGGAAAACCTGGAAAAAATTATATACAGAAATTTTTACGTCAGACAATTAGTTAATTAGGTGATTATCAAGTAGCTAATTAGCAAAAATTTAAATATTTTTTGGCTCAAAATGATCGGAATAACTTAAAACACGGAGAAAAGTAGTTTTTAGAAAAACTTTGAACATTTTTCACTTACTTTTTTTCCGAGACTTAGCTCATTTACAGCTCGAAAAAGGCAAGAAAAGACAAGGGAAATCAAGGAACAGCTAGGAAGCAAGTGTAATTAATACACCTTCCAACATCTACTGTGACTTGTTTTGTGTTGTACTGCATACCGCTTCATTTGCTATGCGGGATACTTCGAATCACCCCCATATGTCAGGGTCGGCTAAAATCAACAAGGGTAAGATACGCCGATACGAGCAAGGGTAAGATTTAGATACGAGCGTCGGGCAAGGGGTAGTAAAGAAACGGTAATACTTAATTCAGTTAAATGAGTTCCAGGAGAGTCAGGATATTTTGGAAATTGCTTAGAAATTCTGATCAGGAAGGATTGTTAATGTCATTAAGAATGTTATTCTTAACGCAGGATATTTTGGGTACGAAACTTGGCGGTCTTCGGAAAAATCCCCATATTTTCGTTCCCATTCATTAGGTTACCGTAATTATGTCGAACATAAATGAATTAAATATGTCTCGTATGTTGGAGAGTTCGGTATTTTCTTTTTAAACCAAACATAATTTAGTTAGAGAACATTTGAGTTAAAATTAAATCTAAAAAATACAGTGTTTTAAAAAACAGTGAACATGTATTCAGGTAACCCACTTACAACACCCATGTAATTATGATTTACCACCGCGTTTTTGTACAGCCGAAATAAATTTAACAATGATGTTTTAACATAATGTTTCTCACTCCAGCTGCAGTCTGGTATACTGTTGAGCATCACGGATATTTTTCTAGCTTTCATATTCCATGTTTTTTCCCTCATAGTAGATATTTTGGTCTTTTGTAAATGTAAGTGTAATACATTGATGTAAAGTTTATTTGAATTTTGAAATAGAAAAATTAGTTTCCTAAATTTGTAGCTGTCTTAATTAGACCAAATTCCCAGAGGTTTACCATGTAGCTGCATCCTATATAGCTACTTCGGTTCATGTTGATTGCCAGACGATCCATAGCCTATTTATTCTAGCTTACATTTTCAGATTCCATCGTCAGTTTCTGTGCAAACATTTGGATACCAATTTTGAAAGGAGTGAAAATTTGCGATCTAAAATTACCATGGCCACCTCTGAGTTCCGGGCAGGTTTTTATTTCAGTTGAAACTTCAATCTTCTCTCCGCCTTGAAAGCATTTAATTTTAATAATCGTGGTGGCAAGTTGTTTTGGTGGCACGTTCCAAACTTTCAGTAGAACTAATCAAGAATCAACACAAACTAAAACATGTAAAAAGGATAATGAAATTTTACTTCCTTTATGTTATTAACAAGATAAATTTCTCCGTCCCAACAGGTCAACCCGGGGGGGGGGATCAGGTACTAAGTGCCGTACGTGATGTCGACTAAAATAAGATACCCACCCATAAATTGCTTTAAACAGCTCATTTAACATTGGAAACGGGCAAATTATACCCACTATTTAGTAGGGGTTTTGTTTTCAATGTAGTCGAATTAGATAAAAAGTTACAAAAAAATTGAAAAAATTACAAAAAACCCAAAAAAAACTCAAAAAAACCTCAAAACCCATTCCCAAAATTGAAATTTGAGGTAAAATGGGGTTTTTGGGGTTGGACTCCCAAAAAATGAACCCCTTAGTACCATGTACTAACTGTTTTTCTGGGAAGTGAGCAGCAGACCCACCACTTATTACAAAAGTACTAACTGCGTTTTGGAAGAAAATATGACCCACCCAACGTCACGTACGATTCTGACCATATGATCCCCCCCCCCCCCCCCCCCCCGGTCAACCACGAAGATTCCTGTACAGTATGTACCGCGATCATCACACATTAATTTTCTGTAGGACCATTCAGCGATTGCTTTATATTCTATTATTGATTATATTATGCTGAAAACGAACATGAAATGACCCGGGAAACTGATAAGAACAGTAATTTATTGGCTCGTGATATGATTAAAAGTAGAGAAGTTTCAGACAATGTTAGAATTTAGTCAGGTAATTTAGTCAGTATTTAACGTGATTTGGTCATGTAATGGCTAATGCTAGGCAGTATAAAGTGTTGCCTAAAAGTCCAGTTATATACATACCTAAGTCGTTTAATTATGACGGGTTAAATTTGGCGGTTTTTCGAAAATTCTACCATATTTTTACCCGTTATTATTTCTACCTGCCATAATAAAACCAGCCGAATTTTGAGTTCTGACAGGGTATATGGCATAATAAATTCATCGTTCCTTTTTCACATTGATTATAACGAGGTGGTTTTATTCGAAAACGTCAAATGCTTTGGTTGTAGTGGACGCACACGGCACAAGTAAACTGATTATTACCGTGCTATCAATCATAGCACTGTAAGGATTTAGGAAGTTATAAATTTTCGTATTGCTAATTTTGTGAATGGTGCAACTTTCATTTTTTATTCTTTCTTGTTATGAATCTCCATCACGAAACAAATTTTTATTTACTTTAGAAATAAATCATAGTGTCGATATAAAGATTAAACTAATTTAATAAAAGATAATACAAAAACTTCAATTCACCGGCGGTGAATTAAACTGTAAACAAATACGCAGTCTGGAAGGAAAATTGGGTCGAATTTTGCAATATATGGCAGGTAGAATTCGGTGGATTTTCAAACATTTTTGTGAAAATAATATTACAGTTTAAAAAGTGGCGGGTCAGCGGATTTTCGGAAAATCCGCCACATTTTTACAATAAATTTACAAACTAATCTATATTATGATCCTAGACCTATGTGGCAAATTTTCTCCCTAAACAAAACAAAACAAAAATCCGTGTAACAACTCCCATCTAAATAAATGCAATAAAAGACACGTGCTGCAAGATCGAATGCTGAGATAAACGAGCTGCACTGAACTCTGAAGAACCCGAAAACAATCTAGCTACACATCACAGTAACACGTGGTGCAGGTTCCTGGTACTTGCTCTGGGTAAACTTGCCAACACTGTTCCTCTCTTTAACCAGAACGTTCCTCCGTCCTTTAGTTTAAGTATGAAGTGTATGTATATGATCCTGAAGTGTGTGTAATAATCCACGGTCACAGCTCAATTGAAATCTAAGCTTCAGGAACTCCAGTTTATAAGAATTGTTCTCCTTCCTTCTCATTTTGAAGACCTTCTCTTTTCTCTGTCTTCTGGTCCCTCACCCCTTCCAGAATATCGTACTTTTGTAGATCAGGGTCTGAAAAATAAAGGACATAAAAATGATCGTATTAGTCTGAAAAGTTAAACATCAAATTCCGGAGAATGTTTGTCAACATACCAAGACGGTTTTTATAGCTTTCAGATACTGCACTGGATACTATCAAATTGCACTGGATACTATCAAATTGCACTGGGTACTATCAAATTGCACTGGATACTACCAAATTGCACTGGATACTATCAAATTGCACTGGATACTATCAAATTGGGAGGCTCACATTTGGCAAAGAGTTGTTTTGACAAGTAGGTAACAGAGAGTGTTATGAGGAAGTTGAGTATCACGATGAGATTTCTGAAGGGGAATCTCTGTCTTCCATAACTTCCCTGTTGAAAAAGTGAATAACTAATTTTACGTTGGTAACGCTTAATTTGACATATGTACGAGATTAATTTGAAAGTCGAATAAGATCATGATTCCATAGGATTTCACATTAATCGGAAAATTCAGCACATATTCATCCTATACCCTAGATATATTCACAACATACTAAGAAAATTTATTAATTTAATCTTAAATTACTCACATCAGATTGATCAGGTTCCACGTAACCCGGGAACTTAAGGAGGGCGTTGTACTTCAGCACGGGTTCCCCCGATAACACTCTCAGGATCAGGGCTACACTAAATCCAGCTATCATGCCGTACTTGTTTGTAAGCTGAGGAAGTGGACCACCATCACCAGGTGGGGGAAGAGCAGGATGTATACCAAATCACTGAGGGGATTAAATTCGTTATATTAGTATATTAGCGACAAGAGAAACGCTATTGTAAATTGTTGGACGTGAGGAGAGTGAGGACTCCTCAAACTATATTAAATTAATTCCTTCTGTAACGTCACGTCCTCAATAAATGTAATAAATTTGCAGTGTTGTAATTAGTTTAAAACTTTAAAACTAATTTACTATAATAATGGTGTTATTTCCTTTGTCGGCACTACAGTGCTCTACTTGAGATCAAGGAGCAAAGTAAATAACAAATGAAATACAGTTCAAATGGTAATTTTAACTTTGTGTCATGTGTTATTTATTATATTATATATATATTTATTTGTTTTATAAAACAAAATGGATAAAGTATGCTTTAAATGATGTTTTCCTACCTGCATATTAAGTAGAGTCCGTACACTGTTTTCACAAAGATGGCTATGATCATAGCAATAACCGTGTTAACGAACACTGTTCCTCGCAAAAACCAAACCGTAAATCTGAAATAGTGTTTACAAGAATATTCAATATAGTTATATTTGATTTTGCTTCCGTATTTTTACTAACTACAACCGTTTGAACGGGTCCTAATTAAACAATCACATACAGTTTACAAAACATCTCACTATTCTTCCCCTTATTCCTTCCTCACCACCCTCCTTCCCTCCTCTACCTCCCTCGCCTTCTGTCCTACCCTGCCTCCCTCCCCTTCTGTCCTACCCTGCCTCCCTCCCCCTTTGTCCCAAATAATTCGATTTAACGTACTTGTCGGTTGCCTTCTGGTAAAATACGTTTACAAAGACATTCCTGGTGAACAGAGTACTAACTCCAAGGATTGAACTGTCAGTTGAGCTCATAACAGCAGCACTAACTGCTCCAAGACCTGCGGTATTTATAGAATCACAGAGATGCTCTTCACTGCCATCAAAATAATCGTAGAGTTACTGACTGTGTTTCAAGTAAAATATGTGTTAGTTAACGAGTTGACAGTAACTATAACCAACCTATGAATGCAACGGCTGGCGGTGTTAGATATAGTAGGGTCAAGGGAACAGCTAATTTGTAATCTTCTGGAATGAGATTTTCTCCATAGTCTGTGCCTGGCCAATCCGTGTTCATTGCTATCAAACCTGGGAATTATTATTGGTTAAAGAAACAAATGAAACAAAAATCTGAAGAATCGGTTTTTATGTTTTTAAATACGTCATATAGAGCACATACAAATTACAATTACGAAGGATGTTGCAAGAATAAGGAATAAGGAATAAGGAATAAGGAATAAGGAATAAGGATATCTATTTATCTCTGAATTAAGTTTTGCAGATACCTAAGTATTTAGATTTAATCTGTCTCGATTCTGTGAAAGAAATATAAACCAGAAGGAATCAAATTAAGATATACCACAACTCACCGATAACGACAGGAGGAATGGCAGCGGCGAAGCACCCAGGTGCTGCAGCGAAGGAAAGAGTCTTAGCAACGCTGACATCTCTAGCTGACAGAACACGCTGGAAGTACGCTTGCCATGGGATTCCTCCTAACATCAGCATGGTGGCTTGGTCAACCTGAATAAAAATAGTCTTGAGAAATGGACTTTAGAGATTACGGGGATCATTCACTTCGAACTCTCAGAAAAATAGAATACTGCCCCAGCTTTATTATAAAGTGTGTTAATGAGGTAAATGATAGCATTTAGTTAAGCTGATAGGATCCCTCAGAGCCACTCTAACTTATACCATTTGTTATGAAGGTTAGGTTAAAATCATATTTTACCCAAACGCCTGCATCCTCCTTTTCAAGCTTTCCAATGAACCTGGAGTAACTTTGTTCCTGATCCATGAACATGGTCAAATTACTGCTTCTCAGAGGAATTTCCACATTAGGATTATTCACCATGAATGGAATGGCGAATATCAATCCAAAGAATATACATATCAGTTGGAAAACATCGGTAAAGGCCACGGAGTATAACCCTGAAATAAAATGTTGCTGTTGTTAACAATAAATCACCCCTCGGTGGCTCGGTATAGTTATTCTAAAGTAGATCTTCAACGAAAAAGTCCCTGCAACATTTGAATTTTCCAACAAATGTAGTTTGTACTACAGGCCTACCTCCGAAAAGAGTGTAGGTCATAGCAATTGCTGCACTGGCAATGATAGACGTAGTATCATCGATACCACAGATGACTCGGAGAGAAGTTCCAAGAGCAGCTAGGATGGATGCGGACCAAAGAATCTGAAATTGTTTAGAAATAGAATTCTGATTTCTGAAAAAATAAAACCACATCAGCTATGTAGATTAAGGATACGTTTCTATCCGGGCAAACTAACCAAACCTTAATCATACATATGAATTGTAAGCCTTACCTCTCCTGAAAAAGCAGGAATGTAGAAGAGAGCCCCGAGAGGTTTTCCATATTTCTCCTGTAGTGGGTCTAACATTGTGACGAATTTTCTTTTCCTCATCTTCTCCGCAAAGAACAAGCCTCCCAAAAACATGGCTATTGAGTAACCTACCGGGGCTAGTGTCCAGACAAGACCGTTCTCTAGCACGGACTCCGCGGTTCCTGGTAAGAACAATGTTTGTTACTGTAAAACTAAAAGAACTCATTTACAGAAGAAAACAGGACTTTATTCATATTTTGGACCATGAATCGAACAAAGTAAAATAGCCACTCACGAGCCGTACAAAACGAGGTACAACCTGGTATTTATCTTCGGCATTCAGTATTTTAGACACACAATAAGTGTTATTGGAACTAACCGTTTATATAACCTCCCCCAACCCACGTTGCTGTCATGGTGAAGACACCCACGAAGTAGTTGATGTCCCGACCAGCCAACATCATGTCTTCAGTTTTACTTTCAACCTGCATCTTCCGGATATCTTTCCTTGATTTTCTCCTCAACACTCTAGTATTTATTGAGAAAATTTATTAAGGAAATGTTTAACTTAATAAAATGTTTAACTCGTAGAGCGACGAATTTATTGATGTCTTACTAGATGGTTCATAACGCATCATGTAACACCTTACCGCATTACGTTACGAGTTTCAAGCCGTCTGGGTCTTAAGAATTTAACCGTTTATTATTTACGTATTAATGCATTTAGTGTCACTTACTTGTGAGAAAGAATTCCAGCAAAGAAAATGATGAGATAGAAGACGATGAGTCCGACCATCCCAACGACATTCAGCTTCTTTCCCGGGCGACCAATTGGATCTACTTCTGCATCTGCCATGACTCTGTTGACTTACTTATCTTATCAGTTTACTGTACTGTCAACTGTGCATTCATCGGTTAAAATCTGACTTTCAAATTTTATACTAAAATTGTGAAAATTAGGTATATGCAGCTCTGGGACGCCCTGTATATCCTGATATAAATCCTGGACCTGCCTTATCGGACATAATTGTCACGGACAAGTTTTTCACTGACCACATTTTTCACGGAAAAACTTTTCCCGAAAAATTGACGCACGAACCAACTGTGATATCACCCTCAACTAGTGGGTGGGATGGGCCGCAATTTCGAAGAGGCCATTTTAATAAATCGATACATCAAATTAAATAATGACCCATGTCTCACAGCATATGGGTTTGAACGAAATGCGTGATATATAAGAATAATTGGCATGTTTAAACACATCAATCAGAAGGTAGCTGGAATAATTTAGTACGCATTATCATTTTGAAATGTTGGTTTAATTCTCGTAACATCTACACAAAATGGTTAAGGTTATGTCACCATGTGTTAAAGCAGATTTAATATGAGAATATGGATTATGGGCAAGTGTTGTTGAATTTTAAATATCAGCTGAGAAATTCGACCTTTGTTAACAAATAGAAGGCTTAGCATAAAAACAGAGTCAAAGAGAACACACAGCAGGTAAACATGAAGTTAAAATAATCATCACAACTGGATTATATTATGAGCGGGTCTATGGTTGGTTCATCCCCAGCGGCTGATAGGTATTGAAAAGTTACGTCACGTGACACCTATCAGACCAATCACGTAACAGGAGTTATAGTTGGTTCGTGTGCACTTTACGCATTTTAAAAACACAACGCACTTAACACACTGAACGACCTTAATTCACGCACTTTTATAGGTACAAAATAAACATCGGCCAGCAGAGATTCTGTGATTAAATTTATTTTGTTGATTATAATGTTGTGATTGCATAATTTATTGTAAATATATTATATTTCACAATGCTGGCAAGCATGACCGTGCCTCTTATATTCACAATACTATTTACCCCCTTTACTATTTACCCCTTTACTATTTACCCCCTTTATTATTTACCCCCTTTACTTTTTACCCCCTTTACTTTTATACCCCCTTTACTACTAGTGCCAACTTTCAATCATGTTCTTTCAAAAGCATACGACAATCATTATACCTTCATTATTATCTTTTCAAAATAACCACGGTGTCATAAAAGTATTACCCTTTAATTACTAACCTTGTCGAAGCCTTGTGATTTACAATCCTGATCTGGTGACGTGTCACAGGCTATCAGCTTATTGGCGTTGCGATAACATTCCTGAAGGATACCTTTAGGGTATAGCAATAACAAGTCCCACGTGCAATGTTCAACTTCAGTTGTTTTATAATCTGGATTGGTATGACGTAGGTATTAACTTAACGTGAGGACGTGAGGTGTGTCATGTGAATGCTACGTTGTACCTTGCAATCATGTCACAGAATATGTCATCTAAGACGAGCTCCATAGGGAAATAGCATCAGTGATGGTCCACACTTCCCGATCTTTCAAGTAAGCCAGCTACGAGGAGTTTCGAGATCATGGGATGTTTTCAACAGAAGCTAACTGCATGCAGTTCGTCGAACTTTGCTGTATCAAATAAGCTGATAGCATGTGACACGTCACCAGATCAGGATTGTAAATCACAAGGCTTCGACAAGGTTAGTAATTAAAGGGTAATGCTTTTATGACACCGTGGTTATTGTGAAAAGATAATAATGAAGGTATAATGATTGTCGTATGCTTTTGAAAGAACATGATTGAAAGTTTGCACTATGCTGCCAGAGTGCCGCCATAGTGCCACGAGAGTGCCACGAGAGTGCCGCGAGAGTGCCACGAGAGTGCCACGAGAGTGCCACGAGAGTGCTACGAGAGTGCCGCGACAGTACCATCGGGATACGGATGTATGACCGTTTTCCAAACAATTTTGAGTTTCTCGCACAATTATTTACAATTTTAGGTATAAAAACCGACAAGTGAGAAATTTAGAAAGTTTATGAGATCATAACGATAGCTGCAAAGCTAGAAAGAATCGTTCAGGAAGTGAAAGGGAAAATCTGGTAAGAGATTGGAGGGTGAGACATTTGTAGAAAGGTCTGTGGCTTTATATACCAGAGCTTAATCGTAGCATCCTGCATAACTGTGAATAAGACGGCCCTGTTGTTTAATATTAATTAGCGACGAGGCCGTAATTCAGCGTAGAGTGAGTATATCGACAATAATACGCTGTGAAATTGTGAATATATGCATTATTCAGAGCTGATTATAATGAATTATATTTTTAGAGATAAAAACTCCCGAGATTTATTTGATTTGCGGTTTTATTCTTATAAATCAAGAGGCTTGCATATAATGAACATATTGACACGGGTGCAGAGCTGAGTCTGTACGGAACCTAGTAATTTCAGATCCTTGTTTAACTTGCCGTACAGCAAGGTCATCCACTACTTTAGCCCGGCGAGGCACATAACTCCCTCTACAACTCCACGACAAATGTTTCATATATACTAGCCGAGTTCACAAGAATATATCCTTGTGTTTGAGAAGAGCTCGTTAGAACTTCTTCCTTTCCCTTCAGTATCCCACAGTCTCTCGAGTTTCGTAACTGCCAGAGAACTCTCTTAAACAATTACTAGACTCGGTGATTATAAATCAAGAAGCTTGCATATAATGAACATATTGACACGGGTGCAGAGCTGAGTCTGTACGGAACCTAGTAATTTCAGATCCTTGTTTAACTTGCCGTACAGCAAGGTCATCCACTACTTTAGCCCGGCGAGGCACATAACTCCCTCTACAACTCCACGACAAATGTTTCATATATACTAGCCGAGTTCACAAGAATATATCCTTGTGTTTGAGAAGAGCTCGTTAGAACTTCTTCCTTTCCCTTCAGTATCCCACAGTCTCTCGAGTTTCGTAACTGCCAGAGAACTCTCTTAAACAATTACTAGACTCGGTGATTATAAATCAAGAGGCTTGCATATAATGAACATATTGACACGGGTGCAGAGCTGAGTCTGTACGGAACCTAGTAATTTCAGATCCTTGTTTAACTTGCCGTACAGCAAGGTCATCCACTACTTTAGCCCGGCGAGGCACATAACTCCCTCTACAACTCCACGACAAATGTTTCATATATACTAGCCGAGTTCACAAGAATATATCCTTGTGTTTGAGAAGAGCTCGTTAGAACTTCTTCCTTTCCCTTCAGTATCCCACAGTCTCTCGAGTTTCGTAACTGCCAGAGAACTCTCTTAAACAATTACTAGACTCGGTGATTATAAATCAAGAGGCTTGCATATAATGAACATATTGACACGGGTGCAGAGCTATGTCAATTTTCCATCCCTAATGAAGATTAATTACACAAAATCTACGTAAGTCCTTAATTAAAAATATGTAACACTGCATTCTAACCAGGCACGTAGCCAGGGAGGCCAAGGGCACTGGCAGGCCTCCCCTTTGCAATGCGTGCTCGGAAGGGGTGTGTGTGTTGTTTTTTTTCGCCAAATTTGCTGCACTTCTTTTTAGTAGTTACTGATTGGACTATTCCGAATCTTATGGAAGTAAGAATTTCCAATGTGTCTTATCGAAAGTGAGTGAGAGAAACACATGTGGTAATTTTATTTACTGACCCTCTTATTTGTAAAGCTATCCTCAATAAATATGCAGTTTCAACAGTGGTCGAATTCACAAAAAAGCAAAAAGAACGTAAACCATTGATTTAAAGTAATGTCCGTGATAATTATGACCGATGAGGTAATTCAACCTCCAGCCGCTGCGCACTTATGCGGAGTCTGACGGTATTTGCCCTGTCAATGTACCTAATCACGTGATCTCTTCCCCAAAGCTTGATTTTAGATTGCGGTAAAAATCTAGTTTCTGAGAAGAGTTAATGTACAAGTTCCAACTTCCAAGACTCTTTGAAATAAGTTTTAATCGATCTTAATATGACGTGAGGGGTGAATATTTTGCTACCATGCCAGGCACTCATAAACAATGATGGGAAATTGGTAGATCACCGACCGGCTATAAGCCGGTTATAAGCCGGCTATAAGCCGGCTTATAGCCGCTTACATTTGTTGTTGAGCGACGGCTATTAGCCGGTTATAAGCCGGCTATTAGCTGTTTTGGTATTGAAAGTGGTTAAAAGCCGGCTATAAGCCGGCTATAAGCCGGCTATAAGATATTAACTCAACCACATCGTACTGAACGATAGTCAGGAGCCGGCTATAAGAAATTCAGCGAAAACGGCTATTAGCCGGCTATAAGCCGGCTATAAGCCGGCTTTAAGATATTAATTCAACCACATCGCACTGAACGATAGTCAGGAGCCGGCTATAAGAAATTCAGGGAAACCGGCTATTATCCGGTTATAAGCCGGCTATTAGCCGGCTATAAGCCGTTTAGGTATCAAAAGTGGTTATAAGCCGGCTATAAGCCGGCTATAAGATATTAATTCAACCACATCGTACTGAACGATAGTCAGGAGCCGGCTATAAGAAATTCAGGGAAACCGGCTATTAGCCGGTTATAAGCCGGCTATTAGCCGGCTATAAGCCGTTTAGGTATCAAAAGTGGTTATAAGCCGGCTATAAGCCGGCTATAAGGCGGCTATAAGATATAAACTCAATGTCATGGTACTGAACTGCGGGTAATTTGTGTAACGGTTGTCATTGTAACCAGTTACGCCTGCGGGTAATTTGCTATAAGATATTAACTCATTTTCATGGCGAAGAACGATAGTCAGGAGCCGGCTATAAGAAACTTAGGAAAAATGAACATAGTAATTGTAGACATAGTAATTATTGTAGACTAGTAATTATTGTAGACTAGATTCAATATCAGTGAGACTCCGCTGTTAGGGATGTTCACACATTTGTCAAATGATTATTAAATACAACAATTCAATTTTTAACTAAAAATTCTGTCAAACAAAAGCGGCAATTCCCTGAAGAAAAGTCTTCTACAATCAGCATCGGATCTGGTGATATGTTGTTTCTTTAGCCACATATACTCCTGTAGAGCTGCTCCCATTGCCAAAGAATCTGTGCGCGTCTTTCCTTGTCCCCGTCTCATGTGTCGTTTAGCGTGGAACCAGGATCCCTCTATTCCATTGGTGTGAGCTCCGGTTGTGGGGTTCACAAATCCTCTCGAATGGTTAACGTCCTCGTGCCGGTAGCCATGCTTGTCGAGGTGGAGGTACCCTTTCCATTTGTCTGTAATGATTAGAGTTCCCCGATGGACATGCTCGATTTGAACATTTGCAGGTTCATTTCCATAAATGTCCATAAATGACTGGACTACACAACTTTAGAGTTAACTTTAGAGAAACTCATATGTCATTTATCTCAAATTAAGCTGTTAGTGTCCATGATCAACCTGTGGCGACAATGTTTTACGTGAAATGTAAAAATCAGGAGTAATATAAAAAGTGTATTTTTAGATTAAAGTGCTAGCTCATAGTTTTAGAATTGTATAGATTAACGTTGGTAGTTTAGCCACCTAACAATCGATCGTGCCGTAATATATGGCCAGAGAATAATAGGGTCTTGGAAATTCTATAGTTGTTCAGTGGGTCGATTGACTGAACACGTTTGCACTTGGTATTTAAACTTACCAGTAGTTTATTTATGTTATGTACCGATGATAATACAATTAGGATAACAACTAGGTAAGCCGTAAGTCTAATTCAAAACACACCGCACACCGTACACACCAATCAGTATTACTATTTGGTAGACCGGGTATTTTGGCGGGAATTCTGTTCCCACGGCACTGTTCTGATAGAAGCTACTTCTACTAATGGTCCCAGAGGAACGGCCGTAAAGTAGCCAGACTTCTTGTCTCCTGTACTGGCTGACACATGCCGATTAAAGTTAGAAATTTCGCTATGATATAAATATAATTGCTCTCGGAATTGAACAAACTCCTACTTATCTAGATCCTTTCTAAATTCGTTAGAGTTTCATGGACTGGGGAAAAATAATCGGTACAGTCTCCCTGCTTGTGTAATTAAGCAATGAAAACAATCCAAAATTATCACATTATATGACATAAGTTGTAATAGCAGAAACTTTCTAACCGTACATTCACCCGCCACTGTTCAAGAAATTATGTCACTGTTTAAAATCATGACGTGAGCACTGTACATCCAATCAGCTATTCCTTTAGTTAGGATGATAGCCAAAACTATAAGGATTTTGGAGAACTAGGGTAATAGTCATAATTCTAAAATTTGAGTGAGTTACACGTGTTTTATTGACGATGATAAACATTTGCAATGTATTACGCTATGCAAGCGCGCACTGAGGGACTTTATGACGTCACGAGGCCACAGCTTATTATTGCAATAACACGCGTTACACGTACGCTAGAGAGTTGGTTCTTTCGGCGATACGATTCTTTACCAGTTTGTCACAGCTGAATTAAATCTTAGCCAAATTGGAGACTACAAATTTTTCAGTTAACTGGTCCTTTAATATCTTATAGCCGGCTTATAACCACTTTTTATACCTAAACGGCTTATAGCCGGCTAATAGCCGGCTTATAACCGGCTAATAGCCGGTTTCCCTGAATTTCTTATAGCCGGCTCCTGACTATCGTTCAGTACGATGTGGTTGAATTAATATCTTATAGCCGGCTTATAGCCGGCTTATAACCACTTTTGATACCTAAACGGCTTATAGCCGGCTAATAGCCGGTTTCCCTGAATTTCTTATAGCCGGCTCCTGACTATCGTTCAGTACGATGTGGTTGAATTAATATCTTATAGCCGGCTTATAACCACTTTCGATACCTAAACGGCTAATAGCCGGCTTATAACCGGCTAATAGCCGTTTTCACTGAATTTCTTATAGCCGATGCCTAAACGGCTAATAGCCGGCTTATAACCGGCTAATAGCCGTCGCTCAACAACAAATGTAAGCGGCTACTAACCGGCTATAAGCCGGCTTATAGCCGGCTATAAAAATTGTAGCCGGCTATAAGCCGGTTTATAGCCGGCTTATAACCGGCTTATAGCCGGTCGGTGATCTACCAATTTCCCACAATCATATCTTGTTCATTAGTTACATGTCACTGGTTACTAGTTCAAACTATCTGTTTGTTAGTGTTAATATTTTGACTAAGCTTCTAAATATGAAGCAGTCGGTCCGAGTTACTTGCCAACTCCGTGAGGTTCTTTTAGATAGTTGCATTGCCGTTGGATTGCAGTTTTCGGGATTAATCAGCTGATGATTTCGACAGAAGATTTCTATGAAAACCTCGCTGACTTACGCATAGTCAAAAAAGATTTACTTATAAGTAAAGTTTTTAAACTAACTAAGAGAAATTAAAATTAAAAAATTCTTTTCATAAGTTAAAAGAAATATCTCTAGTCTTTCAATAGTCCAAGTCTAAAGGAAGTATAATTCATCTAAGTTTCTTTAACGCTAGATCTGGTGCTTTCTACGTTTATCTATGTCCTGCACAGTTAGCGCTGTCTCCGGTCTCCACCAACAAGAAGAAACCCAGAACCCATACAACAGTGATAACAACCAGAAGGCCTAGAGGCACCGCTTTGTGGATAATTCCTGTTCAACCTGATATTTGCACTTACTTGATAATGATTCAATAAGCTCGATATGCTATATCCAATAATTGTTTAAATGAGAAATCTCCGACAAAATGACGAACCGAAATTGTCCGTTAACCCTGTTTTTGTGACTTAAATTTCCGATGTTAATCCTTCGAATTTTAAAGATCTGAGTCATTGTTTATGTCACGTCCAATTCCGTTCAGATCAGTCAAACTTAAATTCATCATACACAAGGTGATCTTATAAAACTCCCGTCAACAGAATACAGAGGTAATAAACTGTCGCGAAAGCTAGAATAAAAATCTTAGTTTGTCTAATCTTAAAGATCTTCTCCTTCATGGCCGGCCTACATTTCGGGAAATTCCATTTACAAAAATGTAGATCCTATAACAGTTATTCTATCACCAATGACCCATGGGGTTGGTCCACCGTTGTATAATGTTTAATATTCAGTATCTTTCCCTTTGTATATTCGTTTGTTAGCTAAGTCATTAGTTAGTGTCAACTGAAGTGTAACAAAGGATCCTGATCGAGTCAAATAAAATATAAAATCAAGGTCGGTGGTTGATATTTTAAATAGTGTGTCACCGAGGGGGGGTACCAATGGCATAAATGGCATAATGGAGAATTGGCCAATAAAAATTTCCATTTATGCCATAAAACGTATGCCATTTATGCCATTTTTGATATAATACATTTCTATTTTCTTTATTTGTCATATGAATCTTTAACGATCATTCCAAGCGTTATAAAGCATGAAACATGTCTCTTATTCAAGTACTAATAATAATTTGCGAATTTAAAGTCAAATATGAAGACCTAAATTCATGGCATAAATGGAGAATTGGCCAATCAAAATTTCCATTTATGCCATAAAACGTATGCCATTTATGCCATTTTATGCCATTGGTACCCCCCCCGTCACCGACGAAAACATTGTTTTAAATTCCCACCTTTTTTGATTAAAACATTGAATAAATTTGTCGCCAAGAGAAAACGCAGAGTTTGAATTTAAGAGCAAAATAAGTGATATCATTAAATAAACATTATATAAGAATACTTGACATATCAAAACACATCAATCATAAGGTAACTGTAATTAATTAGTAGGTATTCTCATTTCGAAATGTTTTTTAATCGTAACATCAAAACAATTATTTGTAGTCTAAAAATGGGGTTATTGGATCACAATATTTGTACCCCGCGTGTTAAACTAGTCTCATTAGGAATTTTAGGCTTGTACATCAAATTTCCAACTGGGAATTTTGAAAGTTATAGAAAACATAGTTCCTATTTTATCTATAATTCAATTAATTCAACTTATTCATATATATTGTATACGTATAATTATTATCATATTGTGTTAACATAAAAGAGCGTTAAAGTTTTGTTCATTACCTTAGTCGCTAATATTATGGCGGGGTCTAATTTGGTCCTTTTCAGGCCAAAGAACCATATTTATAACAGTCCATATTTTTACCCCCCATAATTTAACCCCCCGAGTCAAATTTTAGTGTTCCTTTTGGTAAATCAGTCATAATATGCTAAACGTTTCTTTCATTCACGTCCAGAAGTATGCTTACGTTATTGTTTGCTGAATTGAAGTTAGTTCTGGTTCAAAAAGTCCGATTTGTCTACTATTCCCCCCGGCCCCCATCCTTTCAATTTGAGTGGTTAACTAGGAACAATTTCAATTTAAATTTCAGATCAGCAACTTCAGATGAATAATACAAGAAGATAGTAGCATCGATAAGAAATTGGAACTACCAGAGATCTGAGACTTGCTACGATTTTATTTCTATTTTCGATCGCATTTTGTGATAAACATTGATTTAATTGACAACTTTAACACCTGATAGGGATCGGATGTCTAATGAAAAAATATTAAATTTGTTGTGAAAGCGGCAATGTGGTTATAATTGCGAAAATAATTTGATCAATATTTTCGATTTGAAATTTTATTACGAAAGGAAAGTCGCAGTTAAAATTGTGGGGGGTCAAATTTGGTTCTTTTCGGGCCAAAGAACCATATTTATATCGGTGCATATTTTTAACATCCATAATATTACCGACTAAGGTAAATACAATGTGATGGCGTGATGCATTGAATAATCATTTATTAATTTTAAAATTTAAGCTGCACATTTCATCATGTATGCAACATCTTTAGAATAGAATAAAGGAGCAAAACTTCAATAAGATCCGACTGATTTGAATGTTCTACATACCACGTCATTCATAAGCCATAAGTAAAATATCCAGTCTTATCTCCAGTCTAAGTAAAATTATAACTCTATTCCCTAAGTTTCTTTATCGTTAGATCTGGTGCTTGTAGCCCTTTCGCCGTTCCTCTATGTCTTGAGGAGTTAGCGCCATCGTCTTATCTCCAGTCTCCACCAGCAGGAAGGAACCCAGCACACAGACAACAGCGATAACAGCCAGAAGGCCTAGAGGCACCGCTTTGTGGGTTTTAGGATACAAGTTGTTGAAGATATAAGGACCGATGAAGGAGCCGATCCTGGCAGAACCAGATGAAAGGCAGAACACTAGGCCCACATGAGAGGTCGGTGCTATCTCTGTTGTCCACATATACACTCCAGAGAAGGTTCCAGACACGAACACAATCCCAAGCAAGCACATGATGTTCTCCATCGAATATTCACCCAGAATCGGCACATCAGGTATAGCTAGAAGGTAGCTCAGAGCGGCCCCTACAAACATGACAGCCATGGCTCTCCTCCTTCCGAGCCAGGCTATCAGAGGGATAGTCAGGGCGTACGCAATGATCTCCCCCACTCCACCCATTACGTATCCTAGGTACATGTCAGGAGCCAGCGCCTCCCACCCAAAGTTGAACCCGTAGTAAAACATGGCCACGAACGTCCAGAGCATCATGAGCATGGCAGTTTCTAAACGGAGGGCAGGATACTTTATCAGATCTATCAGCTGCTGCTTCGTGCTCTGTTCCAACTCTTTTGCTTTCGATTCGTCAGAGATCTCCACCTTTTCAAGTTCCATGTCAAAGTTGCTTAGGTCCGCCAGAGCTTGGAAGGCTGCCTTTGCTGCCGCCACGTCGTTGTTCATCAGGTAAAATCTGGGGGACTCTATGCAGACGAAAACCTGTATTGTGGAGAGTAGGAAAACAATAAGAGCTGCCAGAAACATGTAGTTCCAATCAGTGACGAAGTATCCAACAGCAGCGGCAATAGGATACCCAAGTGCCCACATCAGCCCAGTCCAGCCGTTTAGTAAATTCCTCGGTTTAGCTGTCACAAGCTCTACGGTTAGGATGTACATTGCTGTTGAAGTTAAGTAGTTACCTAATCCGATAAAGTATCTCATAGCAAGTAGGAGAAAATAGCTGTGGCAGAATATCCCGGCTAAAAGAGCCCCTCCTCCTATAACGATGCCAATGATCGCACTCTTCTTTCGACCTATCTTATCAAGCAAGTATCCACCTATTATAAGCCCTGTTAGTGCCCCGGCAAAGTATATAGATGATAACAAGGTTTTTTGGGCCTTTCGGGATCCAACATCGCAGTACAAATCAAATTCCGCTGAAAATGAGGTGTGATTGAGCTTCCATTCTATGTCAGCCGCTTCGAGAACCAGTTCTTCTTTGCCGTCCACGATTTCGATCATTTTGCAAGGAAACACTTCAAGTATTGAGGAATTAGCAGTCGTCAAGTTCAGGCATTTTTCAGATTTGCAGACCCAGGTGTTGGTTTCTTTTGGATCAATACCTGGGATAGATCATTTTATTACATTAAGCAGCTGAAAATACTGACCATATCAATTCAAAATAAACGTTAATAATATTGTCGTTAAATCTAGTAACCTTTAAGTAACTCTAGTAACCCAATAGTGACTCTAGTATCCCAATAGTAACTCTAGTAACCCAATAGTAACTCTAGCAACCAAATAGTAACTCTAGCAACCCAATAGTAACTCTAGTAACCCAATAGTAACTCTAGTAACCCGATAGTAACTCTAGCAACCCAATAGTGACTCTAGTAACCCAATAGTAACTCTAACAACCAAATAGTAACTCTAGCAACCAAATAATAACTCTAGTAACCCAATAGTAACTCTAGTAACCCAATACTTATTCTAGCAACCAAATAGTAACTTTAGTAACCTGCAAATGAAGTAACCCAATAGTAACTCTAGTAACCCAATAGTAACTCTAGTAACCTGCAAATGAAGTAAGGTAGAGAGTGGTAGGTCCTCCCAGCCACACTATCATCAAAGACATGACCAGGCCAGTGTACTTCCAGCTCCGGTTCCTAACCAGCTCCTCTATCAAATCATCACTGCTAACAATCCTTTTCTCTGCCACTAACGGGGCAGACTCCTCCGTCTCTCCAACCATTTTCTCCTGATCTTCATCCCCCATATGATATTTGCTACCTTCGGGATAGATAAACTAGTGACAATATGACAGTAGGCAAATTTACAATACAGACAAAACAAAATACGCAGATGATTGCAATGCCGTCCTGCTACAGCGACGTATTACAGGCAGATAAGTAAGCTGGTACACACTTAGACACTGACGATCGAGAGTCTGGTTACTGGTACAGGGTGTTGGTTCTTATTGGTTTAAGATTTTATGGGATAATTATGAACATGGAAATATTTTATTGTAAGCACCATTGTTTTATTCAATCCAGATGCTCGTGAATAATCAATTCTGTAATTCTACCGAAAGTAGGTATTAGAAATATTTAGTGTGTTGAGGAATGTGTGCATGTTTAACGTTTTCTTTGAAAGGCAATCGGTGTAAACATATCAGCATATAACAACAAATCCGCATATATGATAACACCATCGGAACAAAGTAAAACCAGAAAGAAACTCTCATACTAATATGTAGTCGCTGCATATTCTATTTTAGTATTTCTATTTTGACCATTGTGTGAGTGAGGCAGGGAGTTGTATCGAATTTGTGATAAACAACTCTTCTAAGGAAGGAATTGCTTACCCAAAATCGTATTAGTGAGGACTGTGGAGAATAGATGCTTATAGAGGGGTATGGAGTGTGTAGGTAGAGTGATATTATATTTCATTTGGATTACTCCCTGTCATTAGCGTGGGTGTGAAGTTTGTCAGATTGTGAATATTATCACTGGTAATATGGCTGAAAGGAAGTTTTGTTTTTATTTTTAATTAAATATGATTTGCGTTAGTTGTTTAGATTTGCAAACTGAAACGTTTGATGACTGCGACAAATTCACAAATCATCTTATCTTAATTTTTGGGATAAACTTAAAGTTAAGACCGCAAAAAATAAACCTAAATCCACGATTATCACTTAATTTGGTTGGGTCAATGATCAAGCCACACAGGTTCGGGATATAACAGACCATATTTCTAGGCAAGGTGCTCGGTGCTACGTTATGGGACATACTCTCGGCTGTCCTGAAAAAGTAAAACCACTATGGCCACTAAGAGATTTCAAAATAACGTGAACGTAAGCCCACTAGGGTCTAACAGATTCCAAGATAATGTGAACGAATGCTCGACTGAGCTGTCAGTACGCAATATAGTTCGCCGGACTCTAGAATGGCAGACAGTAGCTTAGACCTGTACTACGAGAGTGTAAATCATTAGAAAGATATGGCAGGACGAGTCCGAGTGAGACTGGCTGAGACTGTTAAACCAGATAGGAAATGGAGCTGAAGATAGGAAATAAAGCTGAAGGACGGAGCTGAATAAATTAATGCGACTATTTATGAGTAAAAAATGTCACATGACTGGATTGTGAGGGTTTGGCTGGCTGGATCTATAACACGGACTAAAGGACGCGGAGCTGGACGAATAAGAAACCAGATGAAACCTGATTGAAGATACAATTTTAAAAACATCGTGCCAAAAGCTGCGGAACCAGGCCACTACCGCGTTAAAAACAGTAAAGTAAAGTTGCCTGATAACACCCATTTTAAAGATTATTGAAGGTGTATGGACATGTTCATTTGATTTTGAAGTTGAGGATATAAATAAAATATTAGTAACCCTATTAAATAGCATACTGTAGCTAACTTTGTCACACTTTGGAACTATATAAACCCTCAACGGCTCAACGGTTAGGATATTCGTCTCATCCTCTAGATACTTAGATAAGCTTTTTCACGTGACGATCCTAATCAGGAGAAGAGATATTGCTTAAATTGGGCCGGCAGCGAGATGTAAACTTCGTTATGCTATAAATATGTGAAAGAGTTAATATGGCCCCTAATTGCTGCCATGCTTGACCAAATTTTAAAATATCCAGTTGATAGGATAGTTCCATGTGACTATTATTTACGGTTTTTTTGTTGTTAAACAGTGCCACCAGGTAAATGTTTAAGGGCTATATATGAGAGATGTTTAGGACACACTGACAAAGAATGTTGAACAGTCTAGCATTATTTTATGACCTGAATGTGTCCATATAGAATATGGGCAAGAGATGTCGATTTCATCACACAAGTCTTAGTAGAAGTTGAATACATTTTCTTTCACGTCAGCAGTTTTCATTATAGTTGGAATTGTTGAGAACTTGTAAGCATGCTCGATTATTATTTTTGTGTTTACCAATATCCTCAACTTCAAATGAACATATCCATTATCCAATATCCGTATATATAATAATATATAAATAATAGCGAAACTATCTATTACATTAATCGTATACCTGACTAACATAAATAGTGAACTAAATGCTCTGGAAAGTTGCTAAAAATGTCTCTCAAGTGACGTGAAGGTGTACAATCGTAAAATCAAAACCTGGTGGAAGGAGGTAATTTCCAGTTACCACTCAGAAACCATGACAGCAAGTTATCGTATATTTATAAATGACCTGATATGCAGGTCAAATTGCTCCACTCTGGAATGCGTTAAATTGATGAATGTAGTATAATTTTCTGTTGCAGGACTTTTTACGGGATCCCATTACAATCTTAAACGCCAAACTGATGCGATATTCATTATCACTGAACGCAGTATTCTGGTTATTAGGTGGAACTGGTAACCGGTATAAGTTACTACGGTATAAGGTTACTACGGTCACTAAGGTTACTACAGTTACTACGGTATAAGGTGCTCTTAACAAAAGTAATGGAAACTGGAAAGGTTGATATTTATAATTAAAGAATTATTTTGAATTAGAAATTAAGTTTAAACGAAAAGTAGCTGTCACCACCTCAGAAGTATAGGGATAATTTAAAACCTCATCGAAATAATCTGAATATTTAAAAATTTAAAGCGATATGAAGCATGTATGCAAACTATGATATGTGTAGACTATAGTGGCGTTAAACTTCTACTTTTGGGTTTACACCTGTTAGATGGCCTGAAACCGAAAATTTATCAACATTTAAAATATTAAGACGTACAATTTTAACAGTCGAATGATAGACTCTCTGACAACAGGAAAACTAGGCACAATATATTAATATATTATTGTTGTTAATAATATTATAAGCAACTGACCTGTTAACTAAGAATGTCAACTAATAACTGGTCGAGACATCTGTTGTATATTACTTTAAAGTGGACTTTGAGGCGCGCCTCCGATAATATGTTACTCCTCTCTCTGCTAAAGTATGCATGACCTGCGACAATATTCACCGGTGAAGCTGCTTCTTCCACTTTCATACCATAATATTTTATATATGACTACTTAGAACATTTACAAATGAAGGACAGGTTTGCTATGTTGAACCCCCTTCAGTCATGGTTCAAGCTTGTTACCCTGATAACACAGTGAGCTGATTAAGAAATATCATCAACTACACTAATGAAATTACTGCATAGCTTGACAATTTTTCGCTAAAATAATAAAGCTCCTCTTAAGTTAATGAAATTGAAGAACTGAAGTGATGATATAAGAACACAACTGCAGCTATAAAATATCTGAAGAAAGTTTTCAATTAGAAAGTAATAAATTAGAAACGGACTGTAACTAGTAAGGCAATGAGTATCAGAGAACAGAGCCTATTACAAACATACATAATATATATTTATATGTCAAATATATAATTTAAATCAATATCATATTGAATATAATAAATATTTTATATTATGTACTAATAATCTTACATTACATATAAATATATCACAACAAAATAACCCCTATTTTAATTTCAGTCGTGTTTCTGGCGTGTTACATCTCGGCAATTCGCACGATAATGGAGCGAGCAAAAGACCTCAACATGTTAAACGGGTACCTGTACTTTGGAATGGAGGTCAGTCTTCAATCTTCATTAACTTTGAATCTCCTCTTATGGAGTAATTGCCGCGTTTCTCCCGTTTTTGTCAACATATTTGATAATCGATTAGGCTAAGGCAAAGTGTATTTTTTTGTCAAGCACTTAACGTTAAAAGGACGAATGTAATTCAACACTTTGGATAATTTAAAATATAATTCCAATTTTACAAGTTTTGACTATTAAACAAAGTAGATTTTATTAAAAAGTAAGTTTTGACTATTACAAAAGTAAGTTTTGCTGATAATTAAGTTTTGATTTTTAAACAAAGTTCATTTTATCAAAAATTAAATTTTGACTATTACAAAAGTAAGTCTTGACTATTACAACCAGTCAGGAAAGACAGGTCAATCAACTTTCGTAAGTTTACAATTTTAGGGTGAGAAACTTTAAGCTTTATGAACTCTGAATTGTAATGAACTTCGAGATCTATTAAAATCTCTATTCTGGTGAATTTTAATTTTAGTTTCAACACTTCAATGAATCTTTATTTCATTAATCTGAATGATCTGTGAACTTTGAACTTAAACAAACTTGGAGCTTCGATAAACTTTATTGAACTTTTTTAACCTTCTTAAACTACGAACTTTGTAAAACTTTCTTAAACTTTAAAATCGAGTGAACTTAAAGCTTAATATCAGCATTTATTTAACAGTAACATCTCTAATTTGGTTATATCTGGTTTGACTGTACTCAGCATCAAATCTATAAATATTAGAGGCTGAAATCTCAGATATAAAACGGTGAGTGGAGTGTTTATACTCTCAGCACAAAATACTTTCAACTAACCGATTTCAGAGTTCCCTTGTAGACTTACAGAGTGCAGGGTACACATTTGAATCAAAATCAGTGAGTTTATATACGGGATAAAGAATGCTATACTATGCTGGGCATGCAGGCGGGAATGACAGCTGTGTAACCAAATCTCCTTTTCTTAACTCAGTAAAATACAGTAAAACTTCCCAGATTAAATTTAATTTGTCGTCCAGAAAATTTCCAGACTAATGAATCTAATATAATGTAAGTTAGATTTTTTTGTCAACGAATATTCCAGATCCAGTCTTTGAAATATGTCAATTCTATCAGCCGGTATGCAGCGCTTTGATCAACTGTGAACTGAACAAAATTTGGATGTTTTACTGTATTGAACGATCGGTTAAAGTAAAAAGACCTAAGCATGATATGCCTCATTACAACTTTAAAAGTGACGACAAGTCAAACCTTTATGATCCCAAAAAGAGGAATATAGCATAGCATCTCGATATTGCTGACTGATATAATCTAACTGATAAAAATCAAATCACTTTATCCTGCTTTTCTTTGCTCTTACCAAAGCATGAGTGAATATTCTTATTTCACTACTTTATTCATTTGAAGCACTCTGCTATCGCATGATTCTTTATTTCCTGTTGTGATATGCTATAAAGTGATATGCTATAAAGTGATATGCTATAAAACAGTGTCCTAGTATTCTGTGAAGTGAACGTGTGTGATGTGTCTGTGATGTATTATCAAAATTATTTATTGTTCAAACAATATCAAGCTTGGAAGCAGAGTTATATGAACAGCTATGCTTGATTATAACAACATGTCTGCGTCTATTCAGGTTTCTAACCCCAATGAAAGCTTAGTTACCAACCAAAAGTATCAGTTATCATCCAAAGCAACCTTTAGCAACTGTCTCGTATTTAAGGTAACCAAGTTAAGTATCTTTTGGTAACTGTACGGTATACCAGGTGACATCCTCTATGATGCCTGATGGAAGTAATGCCCTCGATCTGGGTGTACTGCAGGGTCTTATCTCCTTCAACTTTGGTATCGCTTCTACTAACCTTGCTTTTAAAAGCTTCAGGTAAGTACCAATCTTAGTAACACGATATTAGACAAATCTCAAATACTATTGCAATCTGACCAACTTTGATTATCAGTATTTGTTTGAATAGAGTTATTTAACTGTGACGCAGTGACGATGAACAAGACATTGATACAATCATCTTCAGAGAAGATGTGTTTAAGAAGAGATTGGACGTTGAAGTTGATGGAAGTCAGGTCATGAAATCAGCCACACAATCTCCAGAGGACGTTAGTCTCAGTTTTAGTTTCGGTTTTAGTTTCAGTTTATTTACGTTTATTTGATAAAAATATTGTTCATTTAATAACGAAAGGTATAGTAAAACCCCGATTAATTAAGCGTTGGTAAGCTTAATTATTGCAAGGTAACGAATAAGCTAAAAAGAAAACGGTGTCAGTTCCAACCATATTAATGCAGTAATATAACCATGACTAGACTGGACAAACACATCAGTAACAAAAAAATCATCATATCACGATAACGTCGGAGTCAACATGAGATATATAATCATTAATCATAACACACATTTAAAAGCCGAAATCAGATCATGAATAGGTGATTATGCAATATGCATATTGTAACGGTTGTCTTCCACTGCACAGTGCAACTGTTTATTCTGTAAACTTGCATGATATTTCAGTTTAAGTTTCTGTACTAAGTTTATAATGGGGACAAAGAGTAAGCACTGGTAAGCAACAAGGCCACGAATAGTAGTAGTATTAATACAATTTATCTCTCCTCTTTATATAGATCTGACTGTTTAACCCAAGTTGCTGTTAACCTGCATGATATTTCAGTTTAAGTTTCTGTACTAAGTTTATAATGGGGACAAAGAGTAAGCACTGGTAAGCAACAGGGCCACGAATAGTAGTAGTATTAATACAATTTATCTCTCCTCTTTATATAGATCTGTCTGTTTAACTCAGGTTGATAGTCTGGCTGTTAACCTGCATGATATTTCAGTTTAAGTTTCTGTACCAAGTTTATAATGGGGACAAAGAGTAAGCAATATATATACATGTAAGTCAAACCTGCCCAAGCTAGAGAGCCATGGCAGGGCTAGCAATTGCAAGGCCTGGACCAAAACACACCGAACCGACTGGGTATAAAAAGATTAAGCACTGGTAAGCAACAATTGGCCGCGAATAGTAGTAGTATAAATAAGGTTTGTCTCTTCTCTCTATATGAATGTGACTGTTTAATCCAGGTTGATAGTCTGGCTGTTAACCTGCACGATGCGGTCGTGCTCTACGCTCTGGGTCTCAACAAGTCCATAACACAAGGCACTGAGGATTGCAGAGTTGTTAAAAACGACATGTCTAACCTTACTTTCAATGGTTTGTGTTTACTAAGGCAATTGTTTCTGATGCCAAAAATATTTATATATTAGAAAGATGTCAATGAAATGAATTGTTTTGGATCTAAAACATTGTTTTTGTTTTAACCATGTTGTTCTTAACCATGTTGTTCTTAAACTTGTAAGTGCAAATAAAAATCTTCCCCGACCTAATGTTTTATCTGTCAGGAATTATAAATCAGATCAGTATAGACGAGAGGGGGGACGTGTTGAACCCTGACACACTCGTTCTTAACTTTATGGATGATAACGGAGTTTATACTTTGGTAGGAGAACTTTTTACTGTTTAGAAATTTTGATTGTCAGAAAATTTGTCATGAGAAATACTCCAACTTTAGGTTCTGAGTGCAATTTGTATTCCCCAGTTATTATGTAATCTTTTGAAAACGCATAACACTATATTATTATTATTAATACCATTCACAGAAAGAAGTAGGTGAGGTGACAAACAACAGTTTCAAAGCAGTAGAGGGTAGTTTCATTACCTGGCCTGGTGACCGGTACAAAGATATCAGCGATTGTGGGGACCAGAACGAGTTATGTCCTTCTGAAGATAGAGGTTAGTTTTTCCTCTAAATATAGAGATTATTTTCGTTTAGAAGAAAGAGGTAAGTGTACCTTCTGAAGATTTAGTTTCCCCTAAATAATGCTGGTCAATATACATTATACCGTCTGTCAGGTGCTGCATATATAAGATTGATTTAGTGGTTTTACATATCTAGACTGGTCCTGTCAATACCGGAAAATCTCTGTTGATACCGGAGCAGGCTTCGTGATAACCTCGTTTTAAGTTTGATAATAAAACCACTACGTTCCAGGTATGGTGACTATGATGGTTATTGTGGGTATCGTAAGTCTGTTGGTGGTAGCGGGGGCTGTCGGGGTTGCTCTCTGGTTCCGAAACAAACAGATTCAACTCAAAACTGCCTGGAAGATAGCCTATGGTGACCTGAACTTTCAGACGGATCGAGTCGGGAACGCCATCGGGGTCAGTGTTTATTGCTAGAAAATTATAAACGTTTTAAATTAAACTTCGTTATCGGTCGAAGACTGAATTCCGCTTGTCTAGCCAGTATGACCTCATTGAATTCCAGTAGACTGTAGACGATAAACATTATGTAGGCGATGATGGCTAAAACTACAGCTATAATTGGAGTTGTGCCCGCACACAGGAGAGCTTCTAATGTGAGCGTCCAGGTTACCAGTGTTTTTTTGGTTACTGTTTTGGTTACTCACCAGGTCACTATTAACCTGTGTTTTTGGTATTGGTCACCACTAGTCTATCTCCATTCTCATGAGATACCTTTCGAATCTCCGCAGCTCCTCAACCGAGACACATTTCAACTTTCAACCCAAATGCCTTTTAACTTTCCTTTTTCCGTTTGAGTTTAATCCTAGTTTGATCGTGTTTAATCGACTAAATAGGCTTATCAAAATTTCCAGCCTCTTTCAAATTACACCTGTACCTGTGTGAAGCTCTTTATTCTATTTACCAACATTTAATAACTTGATAATATGAATCAAATCCATTATAATCTCTGTAACACCTCATCTCTGTAACACCTCATCTTTGTAACACCTCATCTTTGTAACACCTCATCTCTGTAACACCTCATCTCTGTAACACCTCATGTATGTAACACCTCATCTCTGTAACACCTCATCTCTGTAACACCTCATCTCTGTAACACCTCATCTCTGTAACACCTCATCTCTGTGTCATAATCTCTGTAACACCTCATCACTGTAACACCTCATCTATGTAACACTTCATCTCTGTAACACTTCATCTCTGTAACACCTCATCTCTGTAACACTTCATCTCTGTAACACCTCATCACTGTAACACTTCATCTCTGTAACACCTCATCACTGTAACACCTCATCTCTGTAACACCTAATCTCTGTAACACCTCATCACTGTAACACCTCATCTCTGTAACACCTCATCTCTGTAACACTTCATCTCTGTAACATCTCATCTCTGTAACACCTCATCTCTGAGACACCTCATCACTGTAACACCTAATCTCTGTAACACCTCATCTCTGTAACGCCTCATCTCTGTAACACCTCATCTCTGTAACGCCTCATCTCTGTAACGCCTCATTTATGTAACGCCTCATTTATGTAACGCCTCATCCTGTAACACCTCATCTCTGTAACACCTCATCTCTGTAACACCTCATCTCTGTAACGCCTCATCATGTAACGCCTCATCTGAGCATCCTATAACGCCTCACCCTCCAGAGTACAGTAGGATCACGACTCCTTGGCTCCAGACCTGAGAGTATGGGGACGCAGAACTTTGACGATGTTGATGGTACTCTCATGAAGGCTGTTTACCGGGTTAGTTCGGTCTCCTATTTGTAGCTGTGTTGTTGTGACTCTGATTATACATGTTTTGTCTAGCTACCTAATAATAATAATAAATTGAGGTTTTATAATACCACTACTAAGATATAACTTATACTCAGCAGTACTTCGTCCTTTTCTTTCTTTTTGGTCTCCGTCTCTCATTCCAGTTTTTATTATTTTGAAATGGACTCTCTGATAAAACATTTGAAAAGAATTATATAACTGTCATTCTTCTGATGAGATTAGAATAGAAAGTTTTGCCACCAACAATAAGCCGGTAAACTGACAGTGCCTCCCCCTTACAGCGACAACAAGTAGCAGTCAAGTACCTCAGAAGACAGAACCTCACTGTAAACAACACTATTATGAGAGAACTCAACACCGTAAGTTTCAATATTGTATCAGAGATGGGGCCTATAACCTGGTTCCCTCTGAGTTTAAATAAGTTGATGGAAAGCCTTTTAAGACCATATAAATAACATTAGAAATCTGTATGTAAGATATAAAATCAGCACTGAAAACTACCACCACCGCTCCCATGCACAGTTACGAGACATGGAGCACGAGAATATTGTCAAGTTCTACGGTATCTGCATGGAGCAGAACAAGGTGTGCACAGTGTACTCCCACTGTCCTAAAGGGAGCCTGCAGGACGTTCTTCAGAACGACAAACTCAACCTAGACGTCATGTTCCAACAGAGCTTTATCACTGATATGGTCAAGGTACGTGTTTTTAGTAATAAGTCTCTCTGTGAGACTGATGGAGAGAAGGTTATGAGAAACGATTGCTGCATAACGGACCAACCTTTCAATTATTAATTTTAATCTTTAATAATGATCAGCTTGCTTTTTTTCCACTGCATTTACAATGTAGATTGATCACTCGTTTTTCACGATTCTTTTTATTTTGAACGATTATAAAAACTTTCAACTCGTTATCCCTTAGGGTGTGGAGTACATTCACAAGAGCAACATGGGTTACCATGGCAACCTTACCTCTCAAAACACTCTTATTGACGGTCACTGGGTCCTCAAGCTCACTAAGTTCGGATTAAACACCCTCAAGGAGAAGGATGAGGTACAGTTACCTTATTCTAGCTATGATAAATCAAGAGTGGGGCCCGTACTTTTATCATAGAAGCTAGCTTCTTACGAGCTAAAGTTTTCCATTCATATAAGAGTCTTGAAAGTGTTGCATTTATATTTTAATATTCTATCCACAACTGACAAAATGACTGATAGAACTCTCGGGGACTTACCCTCTCGGTCGAAATGACTGAAAGTGAACTTACAAAGTTACAACAATGACTGACGCATTGACGGCTGGATGTTAGCAACAGCTCGGTTAGGCATTAGTGGCAACATACTGAACTTGACTCTGAATCAGTAATATACTGAGGCGAAACAGCCCAATAACCCACGGTTTAGTCCAGCACACTCTCTCCATATAACTATACCAGGAGACAGAAAATGACTCCCCCGTGGTCACGGAACCTAAGTTGAAGAGCAAAGGTTCGGTAATGGACCGTTTCAGGAAGGGCTCTCAATCGTTATTAGCTTCTGCAGTATGTATGTGTGCAAAGGGAGTGAGGCCCTCCAACTCCAGTGTGCGTAACTTTAGTATCCGTTCTAGCAAGTTTTAGCAATTTCTGGATCTTCTAGCAAGTTTTAGCCAGTTCTGCAACTTCTAGCCAGTTTTCGGGGCCGCAGCGCTGGTCTGATCTAGATCTTCTCTGCTGGGTCCCCCCGAATATGCATGACCCGTTAGTGTCTTCAATTTGGGGAGAAAGCTGTTATGGGTAATCTATCCTGTAGCCTGCTAGCAATTATCTAAATATCTTCCGGGATCATGGATGATGGAGTGATTTTAATGGGAGTTTGAACGATTTCTTTTTTGTTTGCAAGAGTATTCTAACAGGCGTAGTAAACACTAAACTGCATTTGCTATTTGTATTGCTTTTATTTCTTCTCTTTTAAGCATGGGTATTATAGAGACTCGATTATTAAACAGCATCAAGTTTTTTAATCGATTTTTAAATTTATGTTTTCTAATCTGTTATTTTGCCAAATTGATTCGGTGATAATTTGGTGATAACTGTCCATGTTAAAAATGAAAAGTGTAAACTGTGCGATTCTCATCGAATTTCATGAATCTGCTGGGAATCTATTAAAATCACCCCAACCTCCGGTCTTAATTTAAGTTAAAATAATCCTTAATATAACCAAACTTAAATCAGGCTCATTATGACAAAGTTTTGATGCTGATATCATGTCCTCCCAAAGCTAATCCTTTTTCCCTTAGATGTCCAAGACATACGCCGACTGTGAGGAAGATTTGATCAAGAAAAACAAAGTTAAGCGAGGTAGGGTTATTTAGCTCTAGGAAATCGTACCCTCTGATTTTATTCTCAAAGTTATTCAATATAAATATTAGATGGATAGTTTTGTACATTAAACCCTTGGATTCTCACAGATGCAACATGACAAATTCAATTAACTAACCTGTAATTACAATCTTAAATCTAAGTATTAGTTTAAAAAACACCCCGCAGATCAATTGTGGAGAGCACCAGAGTTCCTGGACACCAGCCAAAGAGGCTCGCAGAAAGGTGACATCTACAGTTTCGCCATTATCTGCTCTGAGATCCTTACCAGGGAAGACCCTTACGCTATGTACGAGCTAGAAGTTGATGGTAAGAACTATGAGACATAGCGGATGTTTACGAACCATTTCACTATATAATCATAAACATTTATTTGTTAACTTCCTGTTCCCAAAATTTTGATTTACGTACAAATCAATTTAGATTTGCATACTTTTATATTTGAAAACCTTCCTCACCTGAACGAAAATCTATGCTTACTGACTCCTAAATATAATACGACTTTGACCCTCGCTAGATGTTATAAATCGACTGAAAGCACGAGAAAACCCCCCGTTCCGACCGAACATCAAGAACACAACCTTGGGCAACATGGACCTGAGAGACCCCCTGACTTTCTGTTGGGCGGACTCTCCGGAACAGAGACCTGATGTGGGAAAGGTTAAGGTCCTGATCAGGGAGCTTACCAGCAGGTTTGTATTTTTGTTAACCTTATTATTAGTTATTGTTCCTTCCGATTAAGTCGCCGTATCAAATAGTTCAATAGTCATTAGTCAAGCTACTAGAAGAAACAATTAACATTCAACACATGTATTTCTTGAGAGACAATAAATTATCTCTAAGTTTTCAGGGTTTTGATGGTTATATCTTTCGAATATATTTTGAATTATTATTTAAATATTATAATATTTAAAACCCTGAACAATGGAACTTGAAACCCCCTCCTCCGTAGACAGAAGTCGTTGACGGATCGTATGATGATGATGATGGAGAAGTACACGCATCATTTAGAGGAACTAGTGGATGAGAAGACAGCTCAGTTACAAGTGGAGAAGATGAAGGCTGATAAGCTCCTCTATAGGATGCTTCCCATGTTGGTTACATTTATTGTTAACTTTAATTCTCTTTGCACACAGAAAGCATTTTATCATGTGCCCGTTACACTTGGCTTCAAATGATAATACTCTATTTCATACATCGTTTGACGGTTGAACCAAGTCAAGCACAGTGATTAGTAGACACGTACTAAGTTAGGTTACAGAATTAGTTGTGTATTTTCTACTGTTAGCTGCAAATAAACTGACGTTTATGTCCTGCCAGGAAAGTAGCAGAGAAGCTGAAGAGAGGCGAGGCAGTGATAGCAGAATGGTTTGATGACGTCACTATTTACTTCTCTGACATTGTCGGCTTCACCAACATCTGCTCCGTCAGCGGTCCTTTACAGGTTTGTGTTTATCTACAAATTCCAGGACCTCGTTTTGGAAGCCCAGTTCGATGGTCTAGGTTCAGACACGGTGCAACATTTCAGATCTACTTCTAGTAACGGTCCTGATTTACTCTGACTTATATTTCAAATCTACTTCTAGTAACGGTCCTGATTTACTCTTACTTATATTTCAGATCTACTTCTAGTAACGGCCCTGATTTACTCTGACTTATATTTCAGATCTACTTCTAGTAACGGCCCTGATTTACTCTGACTTATATTTCAGGTTGTCGACTTTCTTAATGATCTCTACACGTGTTTCGACAGTGTAATCGACAGTTACGACGTGTACAAAGTGGAAACAATCGGTGATGCCTACATGGTTGCATCAGGAATCCCAAATAGAAACGGCACCAAACATTCCTCAGAGATAGCCGACATGGCTCTTACCCTACTCCACCACATCAAGTTAGTTTTCAAGTACACAGCAAATAGTTTTCACGCACCAGACAAATACAAAAACGGCGGTTACTTCACCAATTAAACAACAGTATGTATATCAACTCATAGATTTAACAAAAATCTGTAACTAAACATTTCCATACTACGGTAGGATACTTTAATTGATCAATATCCCGAGTGATAATAAACATTGAACGAACTAATTTCTGGAAAAACAAAGAAAAACTTAGTATAGTTTCTGAATAATATCAAAAATTCGATTAAAAACCCGCGGGATAGAAAAGTTGAAAATTCTAGAAGTTCTAAAAATCTTCTGACTAGTATAGGCAATTGCTGGATTTTGTAAAACAACAGTTTCCAAAATCAAAACTCTATATTATGTGCTGTTAGAATCATTCTTATCAGTTAAATCAAGATCATTAACCAAATGTACACCCAGTGATGTAAATGTCAACATGTTCACTTTCAAATTGATGCTTATATGATTGGACAGTGAAATGTTCCAACTTTTTAATTTATTTAATAAAATGTACTTATCTATTGGATGAATTAATATATGAAGCTGTGACAGAACACAAAAGGGGCAAGTATTTGAGCTATTCAAAATAATAAGCAAGGTAGGAAAATTTCACCCATGTCCAAGCCACCACCACCATAACCAAAATGTATCACCATTAGCAATAACCACTCCCCAGGACCTTCAAGATCAGACACTTACCAGACAAAATGTATCACCATTAGCAATAACCACTCCCCAGGACCTTCAAGATCAGACACTTACCAGACAAAATGTATCACCATTAGCAATAACCACTCCCCCAGGACCTTCAAGATCAGACACTTACCAGACAAAATGTATCACCATTAGCAATAACCACTCCCCCAGGACCTTCAAGATCAGACACTTACCAGACAAAATGTATCACCATTAGCAATAACCACTCCCCAGGACCTTCAAGATCAGACACTTACCAGACAAAATGTATCACCATTAGCAATAACCACTCCCCCAGGACCTTCAAGATCAGACACTTACCAGACAAAATGTATCACCATTAGCAATAACCACTCCCCCAGGACCTTCAAGATCAGACACTTACCAGACAAAATGTATCACCATTAGCAATAACCACTCCCCAGGACCTTCAAGATCAGACACTTACCAGACAAAATGTATCACCATTAGCAATAACCACTCCCCCAGGACCTTCAAGATCAGACACTTACCAGACAAAATGTATCACCATTAGCAATAACCACTCCCCCAGGACCTTCAAGATCAGACACTTACCAGACAAAATGTATCACCATTAGCAATAACCACTCCCCCAGGACCTTCAAGATCAGACACTTACCAGACAAAATGTATCACCATTAGCAATAACCACTCCCCAGGACCTTCAAGATCAGACACTTACCAGACAAAATGTATCACCATTAGCAATAACCACTCCCCCAGGACCTTCAAGATCAAACACTTACCAGACAAAATGTATCACCATTAGCAATAACCACTCCCCAGGACCTTCAAGATCAGACACTTACAAGACAAAATGTATCACCATTAGCAATAACCACTCCCCCAGGACCTTCAAGATCAGACACTTACCAGACAAAATGTATCACCATTAGCAATAACCACTCCCCCAGGACCTTCAAGATCAGACACTTACCAGACAAAATGTATCACCATTAGCAATAACCACTCCCCCAGGACCTTCAAGATCAGACAAAATGTATCACCATTAGCAATAACCACTCCCCAGGACCTTCAAGATCAGACACTTACCAGACAAAATGTATCACCATTAGCAATAACCACTCCCCCAGGACCTTCAAGATCAGACACTTACCAGACAAAATGTATCACCATTAGCAATAACCACTCCCCAGGACCTTCAAGATCAGACACTTACCAGACAAAATGTATCACCATTAGCAATAACCACTCCCCAGGACCTTCAAGATCAGACACTTACCAGACAAAATGTATCACCATTAGCAATAACCACTCCCCCAGGACCTTCAAGATCAGACACTTACCAGACAAAATGTATCACCATTAGCAATAACCACTCCCCCAGGACCTTCAAGATCAGACACTTACCAGACAAAATGTATCACCATTAGCAATAACCACTCCCCCAGGACCTTCAAGATCAGACACTTACCAGACAAAATGTATCACCATTAGCAATAACCACTCCCCCAGGACCTTCAAGATCAGACACTTACCAGACAAAATGTATCACCATTAGCAATAACCACTCCCCAGGACCTTCAAGATCAGACACTTACCAGACAAAATGTATCACCATTAGCAATAACCACTCCCCCAGGACCTTCAAGATCAGACACTTACCAGACAAAATGTATCACCATTAGCAATAACCACTCCCCCAGGACCTTCAAGATCAGACACTTACCAGACAAAATGTATCACCATTAGCAATAACCACTCCCCAGGACCTTCAAGATCAGACACTTACCAGACAAAATGTATCACCATTAGCAATAACCACTCCCCAGGACCTTCAAGATCAGACACTTACCAGACAAAATGTATCACCATTAGCAATAACCACTCCCCCAGGACCTTCAAGATCAGACACTTACCAGACAAAATGTATCACCATTAGCAATAACCACTCCCCCAGGACCTTCAAGATCAGACACTTACCAGACAAAATGTATCACCATTAGCAATAACCACTCCCCCAGGACCTTCAAGATCAGACACTTACCAGACAAAATGTATCACCATTAGCAATAACCACTCCCCAGGACCTTCAAGATCAGACACTTACCAGACAAAATGTATCACCATTAGCAATAACCACTCCCCCAGGACCTTCAAGATCAGACACTTACCAGACAAAATGTATCACCATTAGCAATAACCACTCCCCAGGACCTTCAAGATCAGACACTTACCAGACAAAATGTATCACCATTAGCAATAACCACTCCCCCAGGACCTTCAAGATCAGACACTTACCAGACAAAATGTATCACCATTAGCAATAACCACTCCCCCAGGACCTTCAAGATCAGACACTTACCAGACAAAATGTATCACCATTAGCAATAACCACTCCCCAGGACCTTCAAGATCAGACACTTACCAGACAAAATGTATCACCATTAGCAATAACCACTCCCCAGGACCTTCAAGATCAGACACTTACCAGACAAAATGTATCACCATTAGCAATAACCACTCCCCAGGACCTTCAAGATCAGACACTTACCAGACAAAAGGTATCACCATTAGCAATAACCACTCCCCCAGGACCTTCAAGATCAGACACTTACCAGACAAAATGTATCACCATTAGCAATAACCACTCCCCAGGACCTTCAAGATCAGACACTTACCAGACAAAATGTATCACCATTAGCAATAACCACTCCCCAGGACCTTCAAGATCAGACACTTACCAGACAAAAGGTATCACCATTAGCAATAACCACTCCCCCAGGACCTTCAAGATCAGACACTTACCAGACAAAATGTATCACCATTAGCAATAACCACTCCCCAGGACCTTCAAGATCAGACACTTACCAGACAAAAGGTATCACCATTAGCAATAACCACTCCCCAGGACCTTCAAGATCAGACACTTACCAGACAAAAGGTATCACCATTAGCAATAACCACTCCCCCAGGACCTTCAAGATCAGACACTTACCAGACAAAAGGTATCACCATTAGCAATAACCACTCCCCCAGGACCTTCAAGATCAGACACTTACCAGACAAAAGGTATCACCATTAGCAATAACCACTCCCCCAGGACCTTCAAGATCAGACACTTACCAGACAAAATGTATCACCATTAGCAATAACCACTCCCCCAGGACCTTCAAGATCAGACACTTACCAGACAAAATGTATCACCATTAGCAATAACCACTCCCCAGGACCTTCAAGATCAGACACTTACCAGACAAAATGTATCACCATTACCAATAACCACTCTCCCAGGACCTTCAAGATCAGACACTTACCAGACAAAATGTATCACCATTAGCAATAACCACTCTCCCAGGACCTTCAAGATCAGACACTTACCAGACAAAATGTATCACCATTAGCAATAACCACTCCCCCAGGACCTTCAAGATCAGACACTTACCAGACAAAATGTATCACCATTAGCAATAACCACTCCCCAGGACCTTCAAGATCAGACACTTACCAGACAAAATGTATCACCATTAGCAATAACCACTCCCCCAGGACCTTCAAGATCAGACACTTACCAGACAAAATGTATCACCATTAGCAATAACCACTCTCCCAGGACCTTCAAGATCAGACACTTACCAGACAAAATGTATCACCATTAGCAATAACCACTCCCCAGGACCTTCAAGATCAGACACTTACCAGACAAAATGTATCACCATTAGCAATAACCACTCCCCAGGACCTTCAAGATCAGACACTTACCAGACAAAAGGTGTGACCTCCGTATCGGTCTGCACACAGGCCCAGTGTGTGCGGGAGTGGTGGGGTTAGCTATGCCACGGTATTGTTTGTTCGGGGATACTGTCAACATGGCTAGTCGTATGGAGAGCAATGGACTCCGTGAGTTATTCTTATTGTTTTGCTTTTTGTCAATCAATACAAGTATAACTTTTGGAATGAATATATTGTTTAGAACTGTCGTTGTCAGGCACAGTTCCAGGAATCCTCCCATGAAAAATAGATTTCTTAACTTAATCCAATGCTGAATGCTCATTGTTCCCAAAAATTGTAACCTTTCCCCTTTTCTTCTTTTAAGCTGAAACATAATAACTAAAATACATTTTCTATAAAATATTGGATTAAATATTTAACATGCTCCTTATCCTTCTTACAGTAACTTAAATAAGTAATTAAATATTGAATACAGTCTAAAATCAGATTTCCTAATAAGTTTTAATGAAATCATGTCAAGTCACGACTCTGCTCGACCTAAGACCCTAGCTTTACAGCACATAACACGTCTCGCAGGTGCTAATTACTTCTTTATTCTGGCCATATCTTCAACTCGAGCATACGTATATGTTGCTTCATCCGAAAGAATAGTGTTGTCGATGTAGGTAGCATCTTCAGATGTTACATGGAGAACAACATTGTCGTAATTGTTTTCAGCGGTGGGGATATATTCGGGTGTGTCTGGAAGTGCAGTATTAACATAAACTACATTGCCGGCCGATATGTTTTCCTGCTTTCTGCGTAATTGTAGAATATAAAATGCACCTAAAATCAGTATCATGAAGAGGACTGCTGCCACACCTGATACTGTCCAGACTGTTATCTGATGGGTACCTGAATATTAATAATTAAATCATTGTTGAAAATTAGTTTATTTTAGTGATAAGAAGTTAATAAACCATTGAACAAAACGGCCTCTAGTAGAACTGCTTTTTGTGATTCCTGGGTTACCTTTTTTGCAATTATTTGCAATACTAGTTGAGTTGTCCAAACATATCTTGTTACCATCTTCAGAGCAGTTATATTTCGTGGTTTCCTTACAGAACTTAGTGCATGTTCTCCCATAGTGGTTTTCTATGCAAGATGTGCAGTCTGCACTAGCTCTGTTTTTAAAACATATCTTCTCTCCATCATCACTACAACTGTAGTTACCCTCCTCGGGCTCACAGAACACACCACATTCTCCTTGAGGATAGTAATTCACTACACATTGGTCACATTGTTTTCCAGTTGTTCTGTTCCCGCATTTTTTCTCGCCAGTCGTAGAATTGCAGGTGTAGAAACCAGTTTTTGGCTTACAGAACGTGTCACACTGCTGATTTGGGTAGAAGTTGTCCTTGCATTTTGTATCTCCAGAATCATCACATGTGTAGTTTGCTGTCTCATTACAGAACTTTGAACAATCTGGTATGAAGTAATTGAGAGAGCATGAGCCACATTCAGTACCATTCCAGTGTCCTAGACAAACTTTATCCCCTTGGTCGCTGCAATTGTACCTTCCTGTTACAGAAACACATGATTTATCACATTGCTGTTTCGGATAGAAGTTGTCCTTGCAAACTTTGTCTCCTGATTCATCACACGTGTATTGCAAAGTTTCGTTGCATAACTTTGAACAATCTGTTCCATAATAATGATTGATACAAGAATCACAGTCAGTACCATTCCAGTGTCCTAGACACACCTTCGTTCCTTGATCAGTGCAATTGTATTGTCCTACTACAGGCGCACAATACTTGTTACACAGACCGGTGAAGTAGTTGACTTCACAAAAGTTGCATCCTGGTCCGGCAAAATGACCATCACACTGTGTAAGTTTATATTGAACAGTAAATTTCATAACTGGGTTTGAGCTGGTTTTTATTGCCTGTTTCCAATCATCACCAACTGATACAGTGCTAAATGGAACCATGAAATCTGTTATTTCTCTTACTTTTTTGTCACCAAAAGTATAACTATCCCACACCGTGGTAACAATTTTAACCGTCCTATTTGTCAGAATATTGATCTGAATTGGACTGCTGAGCTGACTGACCGTAGTCAAATCAACATTAGCTGTGTTATCGGTAGTGTCAGTTTCTGCTACGCTCCACAGAATATTTCCGTTACCGTCTTGAATCTTCAGTGGTTTGAAGTAGAAGTCACAGGTATAAGAAGAGAGGCCATGGACACGATAAATATTGTCCTCATACCTCAGAAACTTGATTTCACCAACCCCACTAGAGTACAGTTTCTCCTGAAAGTCAATAATTTAAAGAATATTAATTATGATTAAACTGTTTTTATTGATGTTTTGGAACAAAGTGAGAGTCTCCACTCAGTTTTTAAGAACTGAGTGAAGACTCTCACTAAGTGAAGACTCAAACTGAGTGAAGACTCTCACTTTGTCCCAAAACATCAATTATATGATCGACCCACTCAAAAGAGCGAAAACAGATTGTTATAATAAACTATTTTATCGATCAGAAATTAAAGAAAGATATTATATACTACATATCTAATCGGTTGAATTCTAAGGTTGTGCTAAAGAAAATCTGAAGAAATCTGTAGATTTCCATAAAGGATAAAATACGAGAAATAGCCAAATGACATACCATCAGTAGAAGCTGTAAAACCAGAAATAGCACAACCATCCGCACAACAATAAAGCAGCTAATCAACTAGTATTCGTGAGTCTACCTGCAACTGAGAAAACACAGTTCAAACGGAATAACTGAATAAGTTAATTCAGATACTTGATGTTGTACATACGTCAGTTGTTATCAGGTCTCTTTCGCTCGTGAGGTGAAGTTTCCAAGTTGGTTTCTCTCCAGGAAACTAGCTGTTGATGCTGGCGGCAACTGTACTAACTTTTAATATTTTATCATTTTGTTTCATATAAGTTTAATTTTCGAAATCTTTAAATAATTCGTTCGTCACTCTGAAACAACATTTAAACTTAAAAATATAAATTTGGTTTCATCTAACATTATTTCTTTTTATCGGATAACATGACTTAAGTCAAAAGCCAAAAGTCGTGAAACTTAAACTACCAGTACCAATTCGTTGACAAATATTGAACGTGTAACAAGTTGTAAGTTTAAATACTGGGTGGCACAAGTTCATATGATGATACAGCTTGACTCCTCCCAAGAATTAAAAGATGGCACATTTTTCGTTTTATAGCGTTCAGATATAGATATGATCTCTGATGATCCAAGCACGCTAGTATTTTATTTTATTTTGTGTTTCTTTAGCTCTTTGGTAAATTCCTGAAATATTTTTCTGACATTATCACAACCAAATTCAATCAGAGGACTTAATTCTTAAATAATTAACTAATCTTCGTCTGATCTCTCTTGTTGTAACATTATCCCAGATATGGCTGGAACCTAAGGGGTCGTTTACATATTACGTAATCAGCTGAGGGGGGAGGGGGTTTACAAATGATTACACTAGTGTAATTTTGACACAATACTACAATAGTTACGTGTAAAACTGATTACGGAGGGAGGAGGGGGTTAAAATTGTCCAAAACGTGATTGCGTAATATGTCAACGACCTATCAGTATCATCACAGCTACTGCTAGAACCTAACCAACACTCCCTGCAGCTCTTAAGATACACTGTAGTCCAGAAACATACGAAGCTCTCTCTCTCAATGGTACACACACCCTGGAACCTCGCGGTATAACCGACATCAAGGGTAAAGGGGAGATATTCACCTACTGGGTAACTGGTAGGGCTCCTACCCAACCCTCCAGAACTAACGTCCCTCTCGCCCTTAAACCACTGAACTCTCCTCAAAGTAACGGTGGGTCGTCTGATAACGTGAAGTTGTTAGTAGAGCACGATCTGTCAGAACCTAACGGTGATCCGAGAGCTGTTGTGTGATGTGACCATGTAAGGTAGTGTTGCTGTGGTAACATTACCAAATATGATAGTGTTGCCGTGGTAACATTACCAAATATGGTGATCCGAGACCCACTGTCATGTAATATCTGCTCTCAGAACATGCGTTGAACACAGCACAAGATTATCCGCAGTTCTCATCGACCTTGTGCAGGAAGAGTTATTTCCTGTTGTTGGAGGTTACCAGAGCAACGTATCTTTATCAAACCTGTCTGTATATATATACAAACATGTAACCATTAACGAGGACTTCAAGTCAACAGTTAATTGGAGAATCATATCTAACTGCAAATATTTAAAGGATGATACATAATCCAGTTATGGTCATAGTATGCTTTGTTAGCAGTATGTGTACCACACAATCTGAAATAAGGAGTCCCAAAATAAATATCAAGAATGTCAGATTTAGGATTGGACATTCGAATACTATTCACCTTTACATCTGTAACTATGCAGTGTAAGAAGCTAGAAGTTTTGGTCTTAGCAACGAAAGATGAAATAACTTTAGTCAGCTTTAAACGGAGGAGATATTATTCTTTTATTTCTGTTAGAAAAAAACGGTAAAACGTGAAATTTATGATTTGTTTTATTTGTATTTATTATTCTATGATGAAGGAGAATTTAGTGTTCAATGTATTTGTACGAGTCGTCTGAAAAATGTACGAACAGATTTCTGTACATATGGTTTCTGCTAAGATGTTAGTTTTAAGTATTTTATTTAACATTCAAAATGTCCTTGAATTGTATCAAACCAGGACTAGTTTTCTCGACAAATTCGACTTTTCGTTTTTCAATCAGTGACACCAATAAAATATTCGATTGGTATGATAAGAGATTCCAGTGATCTTTCACTCTAAGTCGAAAAGTAGAATTTGTTGCGATATTATATTTAGTCGTATAAACGTAATAATAAAGTTGGTAAAGTTTTCTAGTTGATGGATTATACCTATTGACTAATATTTAAAACCCTAAGGATTAAGTATTAACTGCTGGTATCACGTGTTTTTTGGCAGAGTTATATGTTCTAAATAGTTCAATGATGTAGTATAACGAATAAACTATATTATCTAAATATCATACAATTTGTTGTATTTTACCTCTTTTTTTAATATTATACTTCATGTCAGTATTTTAATTGTAAACAATCTGGCATTATGCGATAAGTCGAATTAATAAATGAAATTGTTATCACAATGTCCATCAAATAAGACTATTGAATTGTAGCGCTTAACAAATTACACGTTCTAACTTCAACATGACACAGTCACGAGATACCAATACTGATATGTGACCAGTAGAGTCTGTTTAGCTGTCACAAAGTGAACGAGTATCTTGGAGAGTCAGAAGAAAGGGAGTGTTTGAAAGGAGATCTTGAGCGAGCAGGAGAGCGTCTGTCAGAGGATCCGACAAAATATTATCTTGACGATGTGTTAAAAATCTATATATGATGTTTTATTTTGAGTAGTTGGATGAGGTTCCATCAATAGTGTTGTCGATGTAAGTAGCATCTTCAGAAGTTACTTGTAAACAGCATTGTCGTACTTGTTCCATGAGTAGCCACCATTTCTTCAGTCTGGTTGGATACTGCAGTACTAATTACATTAACGTAGATCAAATTCCGAGAAGAGAAGTTCTCTACGTGAGTGTAGAATACAAAATGCAGCCAGAACCAGTGTTAGAAAGACAACTGCTGCTATCCACACTCCGGTATAATAGTGGCCTTCGTCGGTTGAAAAATAGTTATTGTAGTTGGAATTTTCAATATTCTCATAGGAATGATCCAAAACAGTGGGAATAGCTTCAAAATAATTATCTTTACTGTAGTGGTATTCTATGCACTCATCACAGAGATCTGTGAAATGTCTCGTTTTACAAGACCGATAAAATTAGTATTACACTGAGTAAGTTTATATAAAGCTAACAGTTGTTCCTATGTTGTTTACACTTTACCGCCAGTTTCCAATCATCACAGACTGACACAACATCGAAAAGAGCCCTGAAGTTGTTTATCTCCCTGACTCTTTATTTATCAGCTCCAGTCTCACTGTCCCATATTTTGGTAAAAATCCTTACTGTTTTATTTGTCGGTACACTGATCTGAATTGTATTTTTGAGCTCCGCTACTTTTGCTAAATCAGCAATTGCTGTGTCTTTGGTAACTGTAGTCTTTGTTATTTTGTGTAGAACATTACCATTTTCATCCTCAATTATAATAATTGGTCTGAACACTAGTAGAAATCACAATCATCCGCCATAGGTACCTCATTGCTGCAGTCATACAAATCCTCGTAACTCAGAAACTTTATTTAACCCACTGCATTGTAGTTGGAGGACTTCGCCGCTTCGACGCGCCGGGCAAACTAGCATTCTTGCTTCGCATCGGCGATCGTTGCTCTGCTTCGCAGAGCAACGATCTCGACGGATTGACATCGTCAATCAACATTGTAGCTGTTCCTGGTAGTTAAGAAAGTAAAGTGTACGGACTACGGACGATACAACTCGTGTGATGATAAAATATTATTGTTGGACAGAGATAGAGCCACGAGTTGTTACCCAGGTGGCACGATTAAAACAGTCAAATATCACTTGAAAGAGTTGCAAGAGCAGGAAAAGTAGAACCATCACTGCAACAGAGCTCCTCTACTAGACATGTCCATACATCTTACCCACCACAGAGAAAACGCACATGTTAACACATAAAGTACACAAGGAATAAGTAAAGGTAATTGTTACTTTGTTACTTGATGTTGTAACAATGTAATTGTAGTTTTACATTGACACACTGTGAATCCTTGATCAGTGCAATTGTAATGTCCTACTTCAGGCTTTGGTCTTCCAATGGTTGTGTGAAGGTTAGGTGGCCCAAAGTGTCACTGCTGGATAGAAACCCTGTGCTGCCGTGAGGTTGTCAGAACTTTGAAAAGGGGTATCCCTGTGGTGCCCCCTTCCAGTTAATCATCAGTCAACATGATGATAGCCACTCCACATCAAGTCCTCCCCTGCTACCTCCACGTGGTGAAGACTGGAAACTGGGCTGTGTCCAGGCTAAATACAGGAAGGGCGACGGGAAACAATGAGTCCCGAGGAGCTCAATCACAAAACGTCATTGACTCCTAAACTATTGGCTCACAAGGGGCTCGGAGACTCATAAATCTTTACTGTAGATTGCACAGTAGTTAAAGAGGTGTAGGCTGTTACCCTCCAAACCTATTCTACTACGACCCAGTCAGACTGGACCACGCTATGTTAGATAGGATACAGCTCCCTGTGCCAGGGTAACCGGTAGTCAGAGCGAGAGTTAGCCCTCGTCAAAGCGGAATTTTCTGTTTCACGCTCTAACTCCCTTACGCTTTAGGTCATAAGCTTAAGACTAAGTCCTGCATGGAACAGGTGAAGATCGAGTAGAGTAAAGTTGAGTGCTAGTGATACAGCCTGATAAACGTTATGTTCATCATCATGTGGTTAACGTTTACATGTTCGAGTTGGTAAAATGTTCCTGCGGTTTTCCCCAATGTTCCGGTGGCGTGGCATTGGGATTAGTGACCATTTGCCACAGTGAAGGGGACTTCACTGGGTTACTTAGCCTTTTGAAAAACAGATATGGTTACAACCAAAAGCACTAGGGTTCAAGCCCCTACCAGGCATATCGAGGATCAGTACAGTTATGACTCGGTTGTCCTAAACCCACATAGTGGACGGGCAGCTGATGATGTGTTTATGAATCCTAGAAAGCCAACAGAAAACATCAAAAAACAAAAAAATAGTGGAGGAGTAGTTAGTTGTACAAAGAAGAGTATCATTGGGACTCTTAATGTCCGTACTGTGAGGGAGTTTTCTAAACGGCTTGAAATGGTTACTCTTTTCTTGCGCAGTCAGATATCTGTCCTTGCAATATACAAGAACACCGAGTTGTGCATGATGAAGAAGTCAAGATAGAGAGGCACAAGAAGGGAGTCCACCTAATAACAACTTCAGCATGGAGAAACAGAGCACAAGCGTCTACAGGAGGAGTGGGATTCCTGCTGACTAAACAAGCCTTTAATGCAGTTAGTCTTATCAAGACCTATAGTAAGCGCTGCATGCTTGTGTCGTTGGACGGAAACCCAAGATTAACCATAATCTCTGTGTATAGTCCAACGGAATCCGCAACTTTCGAAGAAGCCGAAGAGTTTCACGACTGCTTGAGAGCAGCAGTAAGGGAGGTCCCCTCTCATCATCTACTACCTGTAATAGGAGATCTTAATGCTCACCTCAGCAAGTTGAATGGTGAAGATACGGGATGGTACTGGCATCAAGTGACCAATCGTAATGGTCATCTGCTCAGGGATACACTGCTGGAGGGAGAGTTAGAGGCGACGAATCATCGTTTTCAGAAGAGTCCTGGTAAGCAGTGGAATCACCTCTCAGATGGAGTACTAACTAGGAGCCAGATTGACTATGTCCTGGTACGGAAGAAGTGGAGGAGCTCAATAAAGAACACCGAGCCATGCAACTCTTTCAATTCCCTGGGCTCTGACCTAGGAGACCTACCATCTGGATACTTGTGAAGACAACAGACAGACAGTTGCTGAGGAGAAAGACACTCTCTCTGCATGCTACCGTACTGTGGAGGAAGAGCTGCTTAAACAGAAAATAAGTAAAGCTGAAAACGCAGCCGATAGATGCAAGAACAAAGAGAGCTGGAATCTTGTTAATGAGGTCAGTGGGAGAAAGAAGAAGCCATGTGGTCTTGTAGAAGGAGGTAGTAGAGAGGGTAGATTGAGAGCCTGGAAAGACCACTTTACCAAGCTACTTGGACAACCTCCAGTAGTTCCAAACGAAGAAGTGGACATACCAGTCGTACATCCACCACAAAACATCAGTGTGGATAAGTTCACCAAGACCGAACTGGAGGAGGCTACGAAATCGATTAAAGAAGGTAAGGCATTTGGAGAGGATGGAGTTGCCCCTGAAGTACTGAAGAGGGTAGATGTTGATGATTTGTTCCTTGACTTCTGCAATAAAGCACTAGTTGATGGCGATGTTCCTGACCAATGGAAGCACCCATTGTGCCTGTTCCAAAGAAAGGGAATTTGACCAAAGTAGATAACTTTAGAGGTATTGCACTGACATCTATAGTGAGTAAGACTCTCAATAAGATGATACTGAACAGGATCAAACCTGCCATGGAAGACATCTTAAGGATCAATCAGAACGGATTCAGAGAGAGTAGGTCAACAACTAGTCATATTCTTGGCCTAAGAAGGGTATTTGAGGGAGCCCGGGATAAAGATCTGACCGCGGTAATGCTCTTCATTGATTTCAAGAAGGCATTCGACAGCGTGCACCGTGGACTCCTCATGAAGATCCTCCTGGCATATGGAATTCCCAAGGAGATTGTAGGCTTGATACAAAGAATGTATGCAGATACATTTGCTCGTGTGATTACCGAGGATGGTCTGAGTGAAGCATTCTTCATTCTAGCAGGAGTGATGCAGGGAGACACTTTGGCGCCCTACCTATTCATAATCGTAATTGACTACATTATGAGGGTGTCCCTAGAGGGAAGGGACTTTGGGTTTACTCTACACCCTAGAAGAAGCCGTCGCTATCCGGCAGTCAAGGTCACTGATGCGGACTTTTCTGACGACCTTGCTCTTGTAACAGATAGTGTCGCGGAGGCACAAGATTTCCTGGCGGGTCTGGAACTGGCGGCCAACTCAGTCGGACTCCACCTCAACGAGGGGAAAACTAAGTACATGGGAATCAACATAAGAGATGATGATAACCCGACCCTGGTTGCTGGGAGTGGGAAGAACATTGAGAAAGTCGATGACTTCGTATATTTGGGTAGTAGAATGAAGAGTTCGGAGAAGGACTTCGAAGTGAGGAAAGCTAAGGCATGGGGAGCGTGTCACCAGATGAAGCTTGTATGGAAGTCGGATATGCGTAGAGATCTCAAGATACGACTGTTCCTGGCTACAGTCGAGTCCATCCTTCTATATGGCTCTGAAACATGGACTGTCAGCCAGACCCTCGCAAAACGTATTGATGGATGTTATACGAGAATACTGAGGATGGCACTGAACATTGACTGGAAAGAGCGGCAGACTAACGC